TGCAGATTTTAAGTTTACGAATGATGAATATAATTTTTCAGTACAGAGTAATTGTATTTTCATAGCCTATATGACAATAGAATAGTTTTACACATCATTTTGTGTATTACTTGGCTGTATAATTGCTGAGTAAATATGTTTTCCACAGTTCACACTTAGATATTGCTTGACAATAAAAGCAGGTTTGGCATGATGTCCCAGGAGAGAAACCTGAGCTTGTACATAATTGAGCCCAGGGCTCTCGCTTTGTCAATGAGCAAGTGAGGGGGTATGAGTTCAGGAAGTTCTCGAGAGCTTCCCTTGGTAAAGGAGGAGATGGGGTGGATGGGGCGATTCTTCAAAAAACAATGATGAGGGAGAATTGCTAGTCAGGCTATTTATAGTGAGTTTGATCTGATTGGCTTACTAATGATTACAGATGAGAGACCTGCTGCGATCAATCATATCATGTGCTCCTCTCGAAATTAGTTTGTGAAACTTCACTTAAAAATACCGTCATGTTCCTTTAAACTAATGCTAGTCAGACTCCATGTTTAACAATTCAAGAGTTCACACTTAGCTGATGATTGATAAAAAAGCTTTTTTGGCATGCTCTCCCAGGAGAGAGCCCTGAGCTTATGAGATCCTTGAGCCCTGGGCTCCTTCCCGTTTGCAGGGCGAGAGGATGTTTGAGCTCAGGTAGATCTCGATGACTCCCCCTGGCTTATTTGTAGCTAAGTGAAGGATATGGATGACTGAGGAGAGGTGTACTCGCTGAGAGCTTGACTATAGCCCCTTTCACACATACAGACCTTTCCGGAAAGGTTGTGTGTGTGAACAGGTCCTTTTTGAAAATACCGGTAAATTCGTTCTGGCTATTTTCCGGAAAGAGAAGTTGTAACATTACCGGCAATTTGCCGAAATGCTGCGCTGTGTGAATGCAGAAGGAAGATTGCCGTAATAAGCGCGTGCACGTCTAGAACGTGCTGACGTGAGACGTCTGCTTTAGCCAATCACAACAGTCAGACGCATTTACGTCCGCGCGGTTTGTGAGGATAAAAGCCTTTGAATATTTTTCCAGACACATTTAGCTGCTAGAAGTTAGTCAGATCACGTTTATATGTTCTTCTTAATGCCAACTGTGTAAATAATCATCGATGAGATGCTTATGATAAGCCGTTGTTTGTTTACGTTCGTGTGCCTGTGAAACAGCCTGTGAGCGCCTGCACACGCACATATTATGAACATCTCGACATGCGAAAGTGATCCTGAGAAAGTTGTTCACAATATTGATCATCCACAGAGTTTGTAATTTAGTCAAATGTTTACAAATACAGGCGCAGCCGTTTAAAGCTCATTTGTGGTGAATGATGTCAGAATTTACCGGTATTTTGGAATGGATGTGTGAATGGTCTTTTTCCGGAAAATTTCCGTAACGCCCTCGCCTGTGTAAACAGCGCTTTTTGAATATACCGGTAAAGTCGTTCCGGAAATTTTCCGGATATTTACCGGTATCACTGTGTGAAAGGGGCTTATGGCATAAATTTTGTGTGTTCAATTTATTTAGGGTGCATGTTATTTGGACTGTGGGAGAAAACCAGAGAACCCGAGGAAAACCCACGCCAGCACAACATGAATGTAACTCTGAATGAACAAATGAAATTCTGTACAGTAATGTCATCTGGTTTAGTCGTTTAATCACTGGGCTGCCGTGTCACCTGTTTGAAAAGGAGGGAAAGTAGGGTTCGGTGGGGGGTGGGTTCTTCAAGACGAAGATATTGAGATAAGAAAACTCTGGTTATTTATAGTGAATTAGGAATCATCTGATTGGATAATCGATCATTAACTGATGCTGGAAAAGCTAAGAACAATCATAAGCCTGTGATCCTCTCAAAATTTGTTTATAAATAAACTTCATTAGTAATTAATAAGACCGATGCGCTATAGTGTATTTTATGTCTGCTGAAGAATAATACGTTTGTGCAGTTTCCTTAAAAAAAATTAATTAAATTAAAAGTAGAAAAACTTTGATTTTACTAAAATCTCAAACTGAAAATTTAAGTCTCCATTCACTTCCATTGTACAAAAAAGCTTGACCAATAAATTTAGAGCATATCAGATTTTAGTAGTCCTTAGTGGACTGATATTCATGCAACAACTGTCAGACCCCCTGCAGAAGACCCTTGATCTAAAAGATAAATTGAACTTGAGATGTCACTTCTAGCATTTTTCCATTGTCTTCCCTAATGATCCTTCACTCCTAATTTTTGCTCTCCCTAAATGCGATTTCTATTGATGAGGGTTATTATCGGCTCCCAGCTGACCGACAGATAAACACACACACACACACACACACACACACACACACACACACACACACACACACACACAGGCACACACACTGACACATATGTTGCTCATGACGTTCCATCCCCCTGTGACCTTGCATATGTGCTATGATTGATGTCAGATGATGAATGGCAGGGAGCCAGAGATGCACCTGTCGCTATCCCATGAAAAACATAACTGACACATGGATGCTTTCTGCTGCTATAACACGAGGATGGAGGTCATATCCCTTTAATTAGCAAAGTACTTTTGCAAAAAGCATTTCTCAACTCTTCTGAGAACATGCATCACATTGATCGAGGTTATTATGGAATATGAGCGAACCCCCCTGCAGGGCCTGTCACTTTAACAGTCTGACAAAGAAAGACAGTCGAAGATTAAACATGCTGCCATATGGGAAGACAAATGCACCGATTATGATTTGCTAATGTGACAGTGATGTATATTTGGTATTATGCTTTGATTTTTTTCACAATTGTGTTAAAATTAATATCCTGTCTCTGTCTATTTGCATTTTTCTTTCTGCTTCATTCCTCTGGCGGCCCATTAACAGGTAGGTTTATTTGTTTGGTTGCTATTTTTGGTGTTACTATGTTGAGGTGCCTTTTAAAAAAAATATGTTCTGGAAAAACTATTTTTTTTCAGCATTCTCATATAAAAATAAGAACTATTTTTTGGTACTTAAAGAACCATTCAGAAAACATTTCTTATAACCATTTTCTTTCTGTAGCATGAAGAACTTTTAAGTAATCTAAATGTTTTTTTCACTTGTTAAATTCCGTTTATGGAATGAAAAATGTCATGTCTTAAAAAAAGATTTCAAAACTGGTTTCAAAACTAACCTGCCACAAAATCACCATTTTTGCTTCTAAAAATGACTTTATAGATAAGAACTTTTTTTTGCTTAGTGTGAATTAGTTTTAATAAAGACATAGGGCTGCACAATATTGTAAAAATTTTGCATTGCGATATTTTATTTATTATGCCATATATATTGTGATATGAAAACGATTTCGTTAGATGAGTTGAATAACTGTTTAGAAAGAATTTATCATTTTAGATTGATTGGGATGATTCTGTATATGAGTGCATAAAATATAATCTACAAGCATAGATCAATTTAATAAAGAAAAACGATACCAATTAAATAAACAGCATTTAATTGTTTTCCCAAGGAGTCGAACTGTATTCAGCTATACAGTAATTGACTGATCAAATGTAAAATAATACTGCATAGTCTTGAATGTATAGACAAATCAATCAAATTAATCATTATTAAATTAATAATTTAATTTAATTTACTAATTAAAACCTTCACACAGTCACAAACCTTAAAAAGCAGTTGCAAAATAATAAATAAAAATAATAATCCAGACTCAACATTGCGTATACTCGCGATTTGACTATTGTGAATGATCATATTGTGATATCAATGAATCAATGAAACGATATATTGTGCAGCCCTATAAAGAATGTTTTTTTTTTTTTTTTAATTTGAAGAACCTTTTGTGGTCTGTAAAGTTTGAAAGTTAAAAGTTCTACAGTGAACTACTGATTACAGTAAATATTTATTTTCAAGAGTCTATAGATGTTAAAGGTTCTTCATGGACCCACTGATGCTAATGTTGCCAATAATGAACCTCCATTTTTAAGAATGTAGACAGTCATTGTGTGTATAATATTTGTACTAAAGTGTAACTCATTGATTAAAACAAATGTTTGTCTTGTCTTGTAGCAGTAGTTGATTAGCCTTTTTAATGTACAATATTACAGTTTAATCACTAGTAAATAAAAAATTGCTGTAAATGTAATCACCCACAGGCTATCGGCAGCTAGAGACTCTGTCGTTTGTTAACATCTCTGCTCTCGGCAACTTTCACATGGTCATCCACTTAGGCTAAGCAGCGCTGTGGCCGGTCAGTACCTGGATGGGAGACCACCTGGGAAAGCTGGGTTGCTGCCAGAAGTGGTGTTAGTTTGACCAGCAGTGGGGCGCTCAACCTGCGGTCTAAGTGGGTCCTAACTCCCCAGTATAATAATGGGGAATTTATACTGTGCTCAGAGAGCGCTGTCTTTCGGATGAGATGTTAAACTCAGGTCCTGACTCTCTGTGGTCATTAAAAATCCTAGGATGTCCTTCAAAATAGAGTTTAACCCCAGGCATCCTGGCCAAATTTGCCCACTGGCCTCTGTTCATCATGGCCTCCTACCCATCACCATTCCTCTCCACCAATCTGCTGGTGTGTGGTGTGCAGTCTGGCCCAATATGGCTGCTGTTACGTCATCCAGGTGGATGCTGCACACTGGTGGTGGAAGAGATTCCCCCCAAAAATTTTATAAAGTCCAGAGAAGCGCTATATAAATGTAAGGAAATATTAATAATTATTAATATTATTATCCCTACCTTCTACTGCTACTGGCTCTGGCACTCTGGCACAAAAATGTACAGGCAAAACAAATGAAATACCCTTGGCTCCTTGTGATACGCTCAGGTTGAATACATTAACAGCAAATTTTTATTTTGAGGTGAACTATCCATGTAATGTAAATGTTTTGTTTACTGTCACAGCTATAGTCATTATTCCACATCTAACATGTATCCACACTCTCTTTTAACTATTCCCACAATTAATCTGTTTTTCTCTCCATCCGCTCCTCCTTGGAACTAACAGCAAAGATCCAGCAAGAGCGTAAGTGCTTCATTAACATGGATTAACTTGTTCATTAGACGAGTGGATTGGTTTTAACATGGCTTACAACAAAACTTATCACATTAGAAATCTCAAGAACAGAGCGTTGCTGTTGGACGTTGCCCAATCTCTTTTTACAATTACAGCAAAAAATACAGTTCACAAAACAAAAAACATGGAAAAGACACAATCTCGAGAGAGCTTTCACAAGTTCACTGTGCTACTTCAGAGAAATTATAAAGTCTATCACTTATTAAAGCTGATTAATATTCTAATGTAAGCCCATGAGCATGTCTTTTTGGCAGGCCACGTCTTTGAGAGGAAGGATTACTTCAGGGGTTTGTTAGCCGTGCCAGAATACCCACGGTTCTCAGCCAGCTTGAAGTAGAGTAGAGCAGTCAGGAATCTTGTGGCTAATCGTGTATCAAGTTCAGTGAGTATAATGCAGTGAACAAAAAGGCTAATAGCTACAATTTAGTGGATTCCAAAAGAGTACAACAATGTCCGGCCGTGTTTTTTTAGGGGCCCTGGTTTTGGAAGTATTTACTGTTTATTTGTTCTCGAATGATTTAAATATCAAATATTTTAAATTTTGTAAGTTGAAAGCAAGGAATGAAACCAATTAGCTGTGAGGTGAAAAAAAAAAACAATTATAAACTTTGATTTTAAGAAAAATGTATTTGAAAATCATGGGTTAAGAGTAATGGTGCAAAGCTATTAGCTTATATATAAAACCATGTGTGATATTAGCATAGTAGCTGCTTGCTAGAACTCCTTTTTAATGTTGTTGCTATTTTGCTAACTAATTCCCAAGCTGAATGTGCACAATTGTAAATTATTTTTGTGTTAATGAGTTGTTTAAAGGGATAACTGAGGCTGAGGGTTACTGTATAATCTTTATGCTAGCCTCGATAGATAGCATTGTCATTAGCCTGTGTTTTTGTGTGGAAACACAGAAGCGTATGTAAAGAATGATGAATTAGTGATTTATGTTGTATTTCAATCAAAACTTTGTCTCTGTGGTAATGGTGTCAATATTTTGAATGTTAGGCTAACAGTACATTGAGCAACCTTTTGTTCAGTTCTCAGACAGTAGCAAGAAATGCGTTGCTTGCATATGTATGCATAACATTGAGTGACTGTTCTTCCACAGCACTGGTGAGATAAGACTGTCTCTTTGTCCCTCCCTCCACAGTGAAACAGCCCCCCACCATTGTGAAGCAGTCACTAAAGGACTACATTGTGGACCCCAGAGATAACATCATCATTGAATGCGAGGCCAAGGGGAACCCAGTGCCAACGTGAGAATGGATGAAACCTTTTTTCTTTGTGTCGTTTTGTTCTTTCTTTTTTCAGCTCTCCACATTTTTACGTTTATAGTTTGTCAGCAAGTTCTTATTATGTATACAACCACTTTCACATTTCTTCTCTGTCTGTCTTTTATTTTTCTTCAACTCCCGCTTGCTAATTAAATCCAACGTCCATTAGTCTAGGCACTGACAAAGACCAGCACATTTTTGTGAGAGTGACACCCAATGCCCCAACCTGACAGTGGCACTGCCAGCTTTGTCCACTCTCTCTCTCTCTCTCTTGTTCCTTTCTCATGCCATCAGATATGCAGGGGCGCTCACTCTGGCTCCAGTCCCTTGTGCTTGTTTGTGGAAAGTAGGCCTGACCAGCTCAACACAGTGTGGCCATTCAGAGGGCCTGTTTTTGTTTGGTGGTCTGTTGGGCTTTACAAAACCTTCCACTCAGGCTGGTCCGCAAAACCATTGTGGTTTCATAATACGATCAGTTTAGTGTTCACGCTCACAGAATATTCAGTAGGTTAGTAGATGGCACCCGGTCAACTCCAAGCATGTGATCCTACAAAGTTTAAAGGTCAACGTGAAATGTAAACAGAACGGTTCTTTAATCTTGTGGCTTGCATTCAAATTGTACCGATTATAGAAGAAAAAAATTCAGGACAGAACTTGGTCTATTGATCAGAATTAGGTGCAAATTGGAATGCAAGTTGTTGGTGGTTATTAAAAGGACCCATGCACATGAGGATGAAATTATTTGAGCTTCTAATACAAATGTAAACCTTACTTCCCAGGCCTCAACAGGCCCACTGATGTTAAAGCAGGGGTCTCTTTCTAGGCGCCCGATTTTGTTTTTTGAGGATCAAAACTCCAAAAATGTTATCTCTAAAAAAACCTTGACATTTGTAAAGGGCCTAAAAACCTTGGTATGCTGGTTCTGTTCAATTAGGGTTGGGGCTACAGAACTCTGCCTATCTGGGAATAAGGGTGGGGATCCGTGTGCTAGGATTAGTGGTCCTTAGCATGCTTGTTAGTGTACCTGCCTTTCATACCTTAAAAAACTGATTTGATCCTGCTCAAAGCAGTGCTAATAAAAAGGAAGGTTTGCATTGATGCCATGACTCAGAAGGGAGCGATGTTTGTAGATAAGTGTTACATAGACCAACTAGTAAGAATGGTGCAGGGAAACCTCACTAATCTAGCCTCAAGAAGCACACTAGAATTTGTTGTCTTGTTCGTACCAGCTAGTGGTGTGAACCTACACTGGTCTCTCGGTTCAGTTATGATTATCATGTCACCCTTTCGGTTCAATACGAAAGCTCAGGCTCAACAGAAAGGGCTGTGATTGGCTACAGAACGGTGAAAGCCGTTCACTGAGCAGTGACACGGACACTGAAGAACAGCCGCAGCTGTCACAGCTGATCCATGATGCATGCAGTGAAGAAAATTCGCTTTGCAGATATGCTTACACAAATATCACTGTAACAACTGAGAGAGGAGAAAATGTTACCTCACAGACACACCAGCAAGTCAAGGGCTTCACAGTGAGAGAGAAAGAGATGTATATAGAGAGAAATAGAGAGTCTGCTTTTTAAGTAGTTACAGCATTTTAACCCCCGCCCCCCCACCTTACCATAGTGGGCTACCACAACATGCATATGAGATAAATGTTATCAGTACGTAATAATCAGTTATGATCTATTGATAAACTGATACTGCATCATCTGTGACATTACTGCGGTGCATTGAAGAAACAATTGTGACACTCCTAATGCCAGCCTACCTTGCTGGAATCATGGTTTAAAACCCACTCTGAGCAGGGCTTGTAGAACAAGAGGGGTTATACTGGTGCAATGACCCGGAAGGGAGTAAGGTTAAGGCTGGTGAGTTTAACAGAAGCCAACTATTAAGAGATGTGTGGGGCTTCCCCACTCCATTGGCCTCAAGAGGTGCATGAGAGGCTGTGTGTTAGCATCTTATTAGCGCAACTGTCCAGAAAAAAGGAGAAGCTGGGTTGAAACCCACTTTGAGTAGGGCAAATTGAACTGGATGAATTAAATAGATGCCATGACTTGGAAAAGAGTGAGGTTTAGGGGGTGAGTGTGACAGAGGCCAACAAGGAAGAACTGGCCTGAAGATACACACTAGAATCTGATGTCTTTGACGTCATTGTTAGTGTGCTCTCTTTTCATGCTGGATTAATTCAAATCCCACTCAGAGTATAGCAATTATACCTTTAGGTGTTACAACCAGAATACTGAGGGTCTGACATTTAGATCAAAATTACAAAGTTAATGTCCTTAAATTGGTTTAGCAGTCATGTTCTTTTACTCTGATGTGTATGTAAACCACCTGATTTAAAGGCTCCAAAAATGGACCTATTACATAAACAGCTTCAATGTGGCTGATTTCCTGTTTTGGCCCGGTCTGTGCAGGTTTCAGTGGCGGCGGAATGGAAAGTTCTTTAATGTGGGTAAGGACCCACGGGTGACCATGAGAAGTCGATCTGGAACACTAGAGATCAGAAGCAGTGGAAAACCAGAAGATTATGAAGGAGAATACCAGTGCTTTGCCTCCAACAACTTGGGCACAGCCATTTCCAACAAAATCCTGCTTCGAGTGTCAAGTAAGGGATGTATGATTATAACATGAAAGGATAGTTCCACCAAAAATTCAATTATGATGTTTTAAAACTGTTCTGTTGAATACAGAAAAAGCCTAAAAAGTATAACAGAACTAGTTTAATTTGAGCTATTTGCATTTTCAGTTTTCTCAAATATTTTATTATTTTTGTTTAATGTTATTGTTATCAGCCTAATATATTTAACAAGATAGATTATGCATTATATCCACTAGTACAGGGGTCACCAATCTCATTCCTGGAGGTCCTGTGCCCTGCAAGGTTTAGCTCCAACTTGCCTCAACACACCTGCCTGCCTGGGTGTTTCAAGTATACCTAGTAAGACCTTGATTAGTTTGTTTAGGTGTGTTTGATTAGGGTTAGAGCTAAAATCTGCAGGACACCGGACTTCCAGGAACAAGTTTGATAATGCCTGCACTAGTAGATCCACTTCAGTTTAAAGCTACTGGCTATATTGTTTTCAGTTATTAATTTTAAAGTAAAATCAGTAGCCCATTGCATTTATTTGACTTTTGTTTTTAGAATCAAGCCTACAAATACTTATATTTATCCATTTCCAAATGCAACATTTATTGGTTGTCTGTATACAGTTTCTACAGTATAACATTGCATCCCCAGAATATATATACATATTTTTTTTACATTAACTATATAATATTTTTGGATGAGCTATGTCTTGAAAAATAACATGCATATTAATTGCATAATAAAATCCGCATTATCTCTTATAGAGTGATGTTGTTATGTATATTCTCTAATCTGGTGAACTTGTCTCCATTACTCAGAGTCTCCGCTGTGGCCAAAGGAGGTTTTGGAACCGGTAACTGTGCGTGAGGGATCACCGCTCGTCCTGGCCTGCAACCCTCCTCCTGGTCTTCCCCCTCCTGAAACCTTCTGGATGGACAGCTGTGAGTGCGATTGATTGTGTCTGATTTCTTACCCTTACTCCTCTTCTCTCTTACCTTGAGTCTTCACCTTCACGCTTTCTTTAACCTCTTTCTTGTATCTCCCTCTCACTTCCTCTGTCAGTCCTGCAGTCTGTGTCCACTGCAGAGCAGTGTGTGTTACTGTATTAGTGCTGAGCTGGTGCATGTATGCGAATCTGCACTACCTGACAAAAAGCTGAGCGAGCAGAAACAAGCATAGTGCTGAGACATTTCAGCAGACCTAGAATCACACAGCATGGATGCACACTTTACAAAGCGTTTAATATATATCTTGACTGTATTTATCATTGTTACAGTTAAAAATAGCTATTGAATTGTGTTATTGGTAATAAAAGCTTAAATATTTTGAAGGTGACATAATTTATAGCTTAAATTCCTACAATTTCATAGTATGCAGTCAATTTAGGTAATACTTGCATTATAATTATGTCTTTTTAATGCTGTAATATATATATTTATATACGTATATACACACATATATTCATATATATATATATATATATATATATATATATATATATATATATATATATATATATATATATATATATATATATATATATATATGAAGAGTTCAGATGCAAAAACCTCTAAGTGCTATCTGGAATTTTGTTCTACAATGAGCATTTTTCTCAGCCACTTATGTTTATGTTCAATTATTTCATGTTAAAAGTGATGTAAGTAATCTATTTTTTGCCATAAAAGTGAAATTACTGAATCAAGACATAGGACTCTTCATATATAAATATATAAGTGTTTGACCCTTATTGATTTGTGATTTGTTTGCATGTTTGTCACACTTTAATATTTCATATTAACAAACTAATAAAATTTAAGTCAGAGATAACACAGTTTTGAAATGAATCTTTTTATTATTAACGGAAAAATAAACAAAAAAACTACATAAGCTTGTGTGGAAATAATGTTTTCCTTCTAAACCTAATAACAGGTTGGGCCAATCTTAGCAGCAACAATTGCAATCAAGTTTCTGTTACAGTGCTGTGGAAGAATTTTGGCCCATTTATCTTTGCAGAATTATTGTAATTCAGTCACATTGGAGGGTTTTCTAGCATGAACCACCTTTTTAAGATCATCATCTCAATTGGATTTAGGTCAGGATTTTGACAAGGCCTCTCCACAATGTTATTCTGTATCCTGCCTGTCTATATGTAATAACATTCTTATTTTACCTTTAAAATACTCTAAAACTGCTTTGCAAATAAGAAAATATCCATCAGCAGAATGTTATTTAATCTTTACACTGTCTCTAGTACACACATGATTAAATCTAGGCTAGTTACTGACCAGTTGTGAAGGCTCATCTTCGTCTCACAGTCTTCCACACTGCTTCTCTTCCCCCGAGTGACATGTTTGCTGAGCCTTGTTATGTTTCCGGCCTGAAGATGATAATCATGCCTTTGTGATTTTCACACTCATCTTGAGCATCATCACTTCGTCTGCTGCCTGTCAGCTATTGCACATCACATTGAGTCTGTAAATGAGTCTGTATTCTATTCTCTTTTTCTCCACAGTCATTATGCCTATAGCACAGGACAGGAGGGTGTCAATGGGCCTGAACGGTGACTTGTTCTTCTCCAACGTTCTGGCTAAAGATGCCAAGACTGACTACAGCTGCAATGCTCGCTTCGAGTTCACACACACCATACAGCAGAAGAACCCCTACACACTTAAAGTGCAAACAAGTGAGTGGAGATTTATGATGATTTATGATGTGGCTGCATTCTATATTATTACGTCCATAAATATATACATATATATATACACACAAAGCAGATGGAAAAACTCGACTCCTGATGACAAAATATTTGTCACCATTTGTGCTTGTTGATAGCAGGTTGTCTTTGCACCTCACAAAACTTATTTTGGACTGAATTTTGAGGCCGAATAATGCTCTATTTGTCAGAGCTGAGATGGCAAACAAATAATGTCTGCATTGATTCAGAGATTTTTAAAATGCTTCTTTCATTCATTCATTCATTTTCTTGTCGGCTTAGTCCCTTTATTAATCCGGGGTCGCCACAGGGGAATGAACCGCCAACTTATCCAGCAAGTTTTTACGCAGCAGATGCCCTTCCACCCATCTCTGGGAAACATCCACACACACATTCACACACACACTCATACACTACGGACAATTTAGCCTACCCAATTCACCTGTACTGCATTACTTTGGACTGTGGGGAAAACCGAAGCACCCGGAGGAAACCTACGTTATCGCAGGACGAACATGCAAACTCCACACAGAAACACCAACTGAGCCGAGGCTCGAACCAGCGACCCAGCGACCGTCTTCCTGTGAGGCGACAGCACTACCTACTGCTCCACTTCTTGTCTCTTGAATTGATTTTGGACCTCATTTTTAACAGCAGATTAACAGTAGTTTAAATCTCACACTGAATACATTTACATGGATAACAATATTTCACTACAATTAAGACAATACTCATAAGAGTCTACCATGTAAACAGTGATTTTTGTTTAATTTGATTAAGGTCATAAACTAAACAAAAATCGAATTAGAATATGTGGAGTATGGCAATTTTAGTTGCATTTTCGAAGTGCAGTACAGACATGTAAACACTGCAATCAAACTGTTACCGTTGTGTAGGATTTTCGCTGCATTTTGTGACAGAAGAGTCTATACACACACGGCTGTTTGACACTATTCTCTGCACCTACTGAGTCAGTATAGACTTCTGAAACATACAAATGCAATTTATGAAATTAATCCTCGTTCATTTAATTCTGTGATGTTTTCAACAATATATTAATAAAACTGAGTAAGAAAAATGTAGGACCACACGATGGCGCAGCAGGTAGTGCTGTCGCCTCACAGCAAGAAGGTCGCTGGTTCGAGCCTTGGCTGACTCAGTTGGCATTTCAGTGTGGAGTTTCCTCCAGGTGCTTCGGTTTCCTCCACGTTCAAAGACATGTGGTACAGGTGAATTGGGTAAGCTGAATTGTCCATATTGTATGTGTGTGAATAAGTGTGTGTACTGTAGATGTGGAGTGTGTATGGATGTTGTGGCTGGAACCGTATCCGCTGCATAAAATATATGCTGGATAAGTTGGTGGTTTATTACGCTGTGGCAATCCCTGATTAATAAGGGGAAATGAATAATAAGAAAATGAATGAATCAATGACAAATGTATTAAAATATGTGCTTGAGCAGTTTTCAAGACCTTTATCTCATATTTATGTTTTAGCCAAGTAGAAAAAAAATCTGAATAAATGTACTTTTTAAATGGCAGTATCTATTACAGAGAAAAAAAATCTGAAAAAACATAAATTGGACCTTATGTACCAAATGCTACTTATAGACACAACATTTAGTTCAATTCATTTTTTTCATTTCATCAGTTTTTGAAAGCAGCACAGATGAGATCTGAAAGTTGAAGCTGATTGTCTTTTTTTACATACTCTCTGAAAATGTTTTGATGTCATTTTTAAGTTTCGTTCTTTCAAAAGCTCTCTTTATTTTTTTAAAAACTCAATAAAATATTATTCTACTTCAGAAGTCTGTACAAAATCTGTTCTGTGAGCTGCTTTTGTGCATAGAATCTGCCTGCAAAGTCATTGTCCAATAGGCTAACAGGCCTTGCAAAAGCTGGTAAATACTTCCTCCATAGGTACAGTAGCCTTCAGAGATAGGAACTTAACAGGGCATTTTAAGTTCCAGTGATGTTTTACATTCTGTCTTCTGGGATCCTTTAAGCTGAATACGTTTAGAAGGCATACAGTAGATGTTCCCTTCTCAGTCTAATGATATCCATAATCCTGTGCATTTAATTTAGTAGTGGTTGGTGGTCATATAGCCACTGACATCCATGGTGGTCAGTCAGTGACTATATTAGCTTTTTTGGACCAACTTTTTCTATTTTAAGGTTATTTCTTGCAAGAAACTAATATTGTAGTGATAAAATTTTTGCTTTGATCCCACCAACGTTCTCTATGTTTTGTTGTGGATCATTAAACCACTATGTTGCCTCAGAATGAAATCAGCTTTTGGAAGCAGCCTGGATCTCTTGTTATCTTTAATTGGATGTTACTTGTTTCTGAGCTGCTGTCCATGGTAGGCTATGGTATCTATGAATAGTGTGGTCCATCTAGTGGTGAGGATGTAGCAGTGCATTTTGTGATAGTAGTCTTTTTTGTTTTATTTGAAGACTCACTATCAAAGTTCCACAGTTTGAATCATTATTATCTAGTGTATTACTTTTTTCAGCATGTGTATGTTGATGAAACTGCAACTTTATTCACAGAAGAACCTTATAATGACACCTTTCTCAACTCCACTGATGTGTATGGTGGTGAGTTCAACAAAGCTAGCGTGCTATCTTCTGTAATACAACACTAACTGAGTTAGCATTCCTGTCTCTAACAGCTTACATCGGAGATAATGTGTTATATAATACACAGTGTAAAAAGATGTCAAAAGACGTTCCATGTTTTGTTTATAGAATGTAGTAAAGCTTATGTTTTTTTATATACAGTCACTGTCTAAGCAGTTTTTGGGGTCAGCTAAACTGTGTTGTAGTTTGAAGGGCAAGAATTCCGATTTCTGTGGTAAGTGCTTAATTATCCTAATCACGCTGCTCATTACGGAGATATAAAAAATGAAGAACGGAGATTAGGCAAGAGGCTAGAGGTGCTCATTAATATTTCAGTAACTTTAATCCAATGATGACCATGTGCAAATCCGCACACATGTATCCAAGGATATGGCCTACGGGAGATACTGAACATATGACGAAAATTTGTAAATTACGAACCCTGTCAAAAACAAGTCTGAATCACAATTCTTTCTAAAAAACAAATGAGAAAAGGGGGAATTAATTATGTATTCATTCATTTGTTAGTTATTGTGTACATGTAGCAATAGAAGAAATTAAGAAACTACTTAAAAAGTGGAATTACATATTTATAGTAGTGTGTTTGATCAAACTACTGTCAACTGTTCTAAATTTAAATACCAGTGTTGTCACTTAGAGCACTTATTGAAATTTCTAGAATTGTTTTAAAGGGTTTTTAGACCTTTAAAGAATTAAATAAATATATAATTTAAAAACATTTTTAATACAATTTTATGACGTTTTTTACTGAAAATAGTGGTTGAATAATTTATACAATTATTCATTGTTATGAAGTTAGATAGCTGCCTGGTCATTGGGAAGGAGGCAGAGAACTTTTAAATAATTTTGAATAAAAATATAAAACAAAAGAATGTCAGGTCCTCATGGAGGCTGCCTTCAAACTGAAGCAACCATCACATAATATGTAAGGGCCCGGTCCTCTCTCATCTAGCACTGGCATTTCTCCTCCTTTTAGCTTCCAGGGCTACTCCGTGAGACTTGAGGCAGGTGTTGCGTCTCTGATTATCTCACTCACGCAACCTGCCTTCACGGCTCTCTGCCCCACCTCACTCGCCACAATTATATTTATAAACGTTATATAATATAGTGCAGTTTAAAGCTTTATTAACGATCTTGGGGCAATTCATTCTGACATAGTGGTGCTTCACATATATCAAGAATGACACACTCAACACAAAAAAACCCACACTTACCATCAAGTACACAAGCAAAAAACTGTAAAATAATAATAATAATAATATAAACAATAATATTATAATGTTATAAAATATAATGACCCTGAATTTAATTTTTCATATTTAAAATGCGTTTCATAAACTGAAAAATCAACATAAAAATATGTTATATATTATCTGTTATAAAATCTATTATATTATATTATATTAAATCTATTATATAGTACCCCAAACATCACATTTCTTGATTAATGTATTTTCAGTACATGTATAAACACACACACACACACACACACACACACACACACACACACACACACACACACACACACACACACACACACACATATTGTCCATAGTACATAATATATAGTATAGATATGAACATAGTATACAATATACATATTTTATTAAGTGAAATTGGGGTTAAATATGTCCCAGACATGTTCTTAATAGACTTTTTGAGATTCATCCAAGTTTTAATATTCATTGATAGTCATTTTGACAATATTGTGAGGACCAGGGTTCAACAGGGTATATGCACATGGGCTTTTAACTTCAGTCTGCCAGCCCCAGGGCTTCCGGTGAATTATTATTCCATACAGAATCGCCATGTTTAAGATCTGATTTCTTTAAAAAAACAACAATCTTTATTGCCTGGCTGAGATTCGATATAAAGTTGGTATCAGACCAAACAAGAAGCACTGCAGTAAATGCTATTTTTCCACACCACGTCTTTAAAATATGAAAATTTATTTTACTCCTGTAGTTTTTGTGCTAGCCTGCTGCTAATGATGGTGCCTGGTCTTTCATCTCTTTTTACGCTTTAACAACCAAATGGATGCTTAAGTCTATTTAACTGAATGTAAAAGGAACCTTATGAAATTGAAAATAGTCACAAGATCCTTTCACCAGAAGTTTATCATTGGCTGAAAAACATTAGCTGTGCATATAGCCCTTTTAGTTCCTGTCTCAAACGTATAGCATTGTGGGTTCCCTCTGTCAGTGAACGGACATCGCTGTCGCCACAGACACACGTGACAATGGCATGAAACATGTGTTCACAGACTAATCTCTCAGGCTTCGTCCTCCCACTAATGTCACCAACAAAGGCTGTTGTCAGTCCCTCTCCAATGCTAATGGCTCACAGCTAATCTTACTGCTAGATATACATTACAATAGAGACTAATACTGCCCTGCTCATCAAGTCTTCCTCAGGGAGAAGATTGTCTATGTCTTCACATAACCAGGTTTTTTTGTCCACAACTAACCATCTGTCTGTCCTCACAGCTTTATGATTCTCTTTTATGCTTGTGTTATTTATGCATACAGAATTCAAATGATTATAGAGGTACAGTATAATGGTGGAGTTTGATGATAGAGAAATACAACAGCATTAACAACAACAGCGATTTACTGTTTTTTTTTTTTTACGTTTGTTTGAAATAGCCTGGTCAGATCTATTATTCAGAAGTTTCAGATCAGTAGGATATTTTTTTAATGCAGAAATTATGCATTCAGTTTCAGTCAAGACATTACTATATGAGAGTCAAAGATTTCTGAAGACTAGATGCTGAAAATTCAGCTTTGAATCAAAGGAATATATAATTTTTAAATGAACACTTTAATAATAGTTACTTATTTGTTCAGTAATAGTATGTTGAATGGTTATATTCATTTGTATTATTATTTTTTATCATTATTACTATTTTAGTGTATTTATAATCATACAAATGCAAAAGCTATTGAACTGTAGTGTAAAGTATATATTTATAAAATAGAATATTATATTATAAAATATTATAATAACAAATAAATAAAAACAAATAAAATATTTGTTAAACTCAATTTTAAAATGTGTAGCTTTTAATTTGGTGTAACGTTAATTAGACATTTTATTTTCTTTAATTCTTTTTTATAAAAAGAAATCACTGATTAAAATAGTAATTAGTCCTTTAAATAAAATAAATGTATTTTTTTTCATGTGAGACACAAAATTATTGTCTTACTGTATATGGAAGCCTATTTCCATCTCTGAGTAAAACAGTGAAAGCAAAAATGTAATTCTGACATTATTTATTTAATTTATATCTTAATATATTAACTTGTATTTTATCTCATTATATTTTTTTCATTTAAGTGCAGAAATATACATCCATATATTTCAACACACTAATAAATATATATTGTGCAATTACAAGCTGAATCTAAAATTAATCCATAAAATAATTATAGGATATATACCTTGGCGTATTCTCCCACCTCAAGCATTTTTTGCCTCTTTTTTTGTTTGTTAATACGTTTTTTCTTTTTTTCCACAGTGCGTAATATACCGGAAACCCAGCCCACCTTTCTATCTCCAACGGGCTTGTCCAGCACCAAGATGGTGCTCAGAGGAGAAGAACTTCTCCTGGAGTGTATAGCAGCTGGAGTGTAAGTGTTTTTTAGTACTATAAAAACGGTTCTATTTGATATTATATTTAAAATTAATACACATTTATTTTAATTGTCTTTAACTTTTAATGAGAAAAAGCACAAAAATAATATTAAAGCATTTAATCCTTAAAAACAAAGCATCAATACAAAGCTGCTTTTTACGTTTTTTTATGGCTTTTAACTATTTTTCACTTTTGAATATTTGACTTCACTACACTTCATAAAAGCAGTCGATTTTAAATTGGAGAAATTGTCACCTGCTCAGAAACACAATAATGGTGTTCAAATTGTGAATAAGCTTATTTTGTTAAATCAGATTTAAAAATGCAAATGATCCGTTTAGTGTTAGTCTCCATTAAAACAATACAGTATTTGTATTTATATTACCTTAATTTCAACTTTAAAAACCCTATCAAAACACTGGTTCATCCACATATTCATTTCCCAAATGCACAGTGTATTAAGGTACTAAAGTAATTTGTCAATTAAATAAATCTGTTTTGTTTCTTCAACTCGTTCCTCAGACCAACTCCTACCATTACCTGGTCCAAAAGAGGAGGAGACCTGCCAACGAAAAAAGTCAGGATTGGGAACTTCGATAAAACCTTACGCATTCTCAATGTGTCTGAGGAAGACATTGGCAGCTACACCTGCATGGCCAGCAACAGAATTGGCAGCATTCGCCACACAGTTGAAGTCCAGGTCAAAGGTGAGCAATCGAGAAAAGACAATTGATGCCCATTATGTCTGAAAAAACTGCTTCATGTATTCCACTGTCCTAAATTCCTTCCACAGCTGCTCCATTTTGGCTAGAAAAGCCCATCAATCTGGTTCTTGCCCCTGATGAGAGTGGACGGTTAGTGTGCCGTGCTAACGGGAGTCCCAAACCCACTATTCAATGGCTGGTGAATGGAGAACCCATTGAAAGTCAGTCAGCTTTTGCTTGTCATGTTTGAACAGATTTAGAGTTTTAAATCATAAGCAACAAAGTGTATATTTTGTGTGTGTGTGTGTGTGTGTGTGTGTGTTTGTGTGTGTAACTTCAGGTTCACTCCCCAACCCCAATCGGAGAGTTCTTGATGACACGATCATATTTGAGACGGTTCAGTTTGAAAGCAGTGCAGTTTACCAGTGTAACGCCTCCAATGAGCACGGTTATCTTCTGGCAAATGCTTTCGTCAGTGTTTTGGGTATGACAGGATGAAACGAATTGGTGCAGAATGTCCATATAGCCCACATGGTGCGCAAATTGTGAGATGTTGGTGTTGCTGTTTTTTTCCCTAGATATGGCACCGCGGATGCTTGGCCCGAAAAACCAGCTGATCAAAGTCATTGAAAACAACAGGACCTTCCTCGAGTGTCCTTTCTTTGGCTCACCGCTCCCTTTACTTCGCTGGTAAGTTTATGTTAAATTGTTGTAAACAGTACTTGTTCACAAAGGGTAATTATTTGATCAAAATGCTGTAAAACCCACTGTAATATTGTAACATATTGTTACAATTAAAAATAAATTATTCCTATTTTGATATATTTTAAAATGTTGCTTATAGCTGTGATGAATTGATGTCAGCCTTTGCTTTTGGCTCATGTTTAGGCATATTTATAACAAGAATCATTTGATAACGTTAACACTCAATTAAAGGATTATAGTGCAGACCCAAAACATATACGGTATTTTTTTCTCATTTTATATATTAACACTAAATTTTTCAAACACTGTTGGAATATCCAGCCAATTCCATGCGTGTTAAATAAAATTCAGGGGAGAGTTTTCTTCAATGTCAAAAATATTAGTAATTTATTAAATACAAATGAATAGTTAGAGGACAGAGCTCTGAGTTACGTTACCCCAATTCAATACAAGAATTACATTCAAGAGGTTCGCAACTAACCTACATTTCTCTGACTCCAGCATATATACACAACTGAAATTAACAGGTGGAATTTTGGTGTAACGTCACTTATTAGTCATTCTGCAGTCCATTGGCTGTTCCACCCAAACCTACTTCCTCTTTCTGCAACCTTTCTTTGCATACCAGAACTGAACAGTTAAGTGCATCTTCAATATATTTCATAACTTGTGACATGTCTAGACTTCTTGTTAGACAGAAGTCTGGAGCAAGCCCTCCAGCACTATATTTATTCTTATTCTGCTATTTCCCTCTTGTCAGCAGTTATTTCTAAGAAGTATGCAACACAGTAAGAAAGAAGAAGTATGTTTAGTTTATATATGGTGGCGTACAAAAGAAAAAGATTGATTAATCTGTTGTTAGTCTAAACATATTTTAATAAAAAATATAAACAAAAGTAATAAAAATAAAGTCTTTTTCCCCCACAGCAGTTTCACACTTTTTCAAACGATAAATATGATCACTTATTAGTATAAATAGTTTCATAAGTATAAGTCAGAGTGTGTTGTTTTAATTTTACCCTAAATATGTTACACAAAAAATTATGAAATAATTTTCCTTCCAATGTTAAATTATATTATACTGTATTTTAAAGAATTGGTGTTTGCCTCAAATTAAATGTTCTTTTCTGTACTTAATGTAGAAAAAAAAATCTTCTATGTTTCCAGTAACTTTTTTGTGACCTGTACTTATTAAAAATATTAATTAATAGTTGAATTATATTATATTAACTACTTGAATTATATTCCTGAGAAAAGGGTAAAAAATAGTAGGTTGAACGAAAGTCATACAGAAAAAAAGTAAATTATTTATTTAAAATAAAAAAGGAGTTTAAAATGTTTAAAATGTAAAATAAATGTAAAAACTACTGTTACAGATCTAATAAAGGTGCGGTATGTAAGTTTTTGACTTCTCTAAAGCATAAAAATACCATAATATGGTTGCAGATATTTAGGAAACATGCTAAGTGAACATTCTTGTTTATCTGAAAAATAATGTTGAAGTCAGATGTTCTGCTTTGAAAATGTCTGTAATGTGCTGGAACGACTGTCTTTGTTTTTTTGTTTTTTTTTACCCGCCCAATGCCACTTTAGCCAATTATATTCCAGCACCCTGTGTTGCCTTTCTGGAAAACCATGTATTACATTCATTCAGTCAGAAAGGCCCTGAAAGCATGTGTCCCTGACCGAAATGCAACCTCCAGTGGACAGTAGCAGACTCCGAAATGGGACAGATTCAGAGTTGCACATGAGGTTATTAATTAGCAAATACATAAATATTATGAACGTAAACATTGGGTGGGCAGGTTACATCCTAACAACATGCTATGTGAGAAGATTTGCAGTGATAATTTGGCTGTTTGCACCAGACAAAACACGACAGAAATTTAAAAAAAACATTTAAATTCAGAAACACAGAATTCTTTTAATTCTTTTAATATTTAATGCATATTAGACCTCTTTAACATGATTAAATGTAGATGCTGAATCACTGCTATGTGTTGGTTTGCATTATTTCACAGTTCTAAATTCAATTTTAAATGGTTTATTTTATTTTCAAGATCTGAGGTGTACTATCTGCTGCTGCTTTCAGTAGTATGGCAATAAATGCCATGTAAAACCTCACATGTTAACATTTAACACTGAATATAGCACACGTTTTCTGTTGTTCAGCTGCAAGAAATAAAAGCCGTTTCTTATATATCAATTCGATAGTTGGTTGGAACAAAAAATATGGAAAATATTCCTTCTATCGTGTGCTGTTGCTTTTATATCGAACACGATTAAAATCAGCCTTCAATTAGTCTTCAGGCTCGAGAGCCAGGCTTGCTCCTGTTGGTCCTCAATATGGCAACCTGCATTTGTTTTGATCCAGGAATGAAATACCTAGTTCAACCACTAGGTGTCAGACTTACATACTGCACCTTTAATGTTTTGTTTAAACAGAACACACTCTAATGCATAAATCAAAATTCTGCTAAATTAGACTTTTATTATTTATGTGTTCAGGTTTAAGAATGGACTTGGCAGTGGTTTGGATGGTGGTCACTACAGGCTATACCACAATGGCACTTTGGAGATCAAGCAGGCCCGGACAGAAGACCAGGGCACCTACACCTGCGTCGCCAGCAACATTCTGGGCAAGATGGAGAATCAAGTGCGCCTAGAGGTTAAAGGTGAGATTCTAAGAAAAAATATCTTGTTGTCTCTGTGTGAAATTATGAACGCTTTGGTTTCCTATATGATTGTTGTGATCCATTTCAGAGCCCACAAGAATAGTCCGCGCACCTGAACATAAGACGGAACCCAGAGGAACCACAGTTCGATTCGACTGTCGAGTTAAACATGATCCTTCCCTTCCTGCTACAGTCACATGGCTGAAAGATGAAAAGCCTCTGAGCTTCAGCTGGATGTAATGACACATATCATTATATCTATGATACACTCACACTATCTATGATGCACTCACACTGTTTATCTGCTTATTATCACAAATTCACTTTTGTGAATTTATTATTATTATTATTTACAAATTTATTTTATTATTTCTACTCTCCAAGTGGTTACAAGCCTTTGTGTTTATATTATAAACAAATAATATTTTGAAAATATTGCAGTCATCATCGCAGAAATAAAATTAATACAATGTAATATAATGTTTTACATTCAGAAGTGTATAATAATTAAACAAGTTTTTTGTATTTGTAAAATGGCCTCAAAATTATATATATATATATATATATGTTAATGTATAAATGAGGATGTAATACTATAGAAAGTACAAAATTGATGTATTAAAATTATAAATGTATTATTATTAATCTATTACGATATACTGTATATTGATGTTGAATTGGTAAAATGTGCCTGAGAACAAAATATGCTATAAGAATATTAGCAATATTAAAATATTGATGAACTGTATTTATTCAATGTAATGCATCCTTTCTAAAAAAAAAATATTAGTTACTTTTTTTAAGAATGAAATATCTAATCAAAAAAAGCTGATACACTGTACATGACGTCTAATTCCTGTATGTTTTAGTGGCCGGTTGAAAAAGGATGATGAGTCCTTGACTATTTACAATGTCAATCCAGACGATGGAGGAACCTACACATGCACAGCCAAAACTGAGATAGACGAGGACACTGCCTCAGCTCGCCTTACTGTTACAGGTACACACACTTTCACACACACACCTCACAATAGATGTAGATGTACAATAGATGTGTCTTTATGGACCCTTCCCATGTTGCTAATTGCTTGAAACTGACTTGATAATAGATACTAAGTGGATATGGACATGTCAAATAGTACATGAACCATATCCAAACACTCCCTAAACACTGTTTATTTACATGTGCAGCTACTAGATCGATTCCACTTTAAATTAACACCAAAAATACACTACCTTTTACAAAACATAGCATGTTTTTTTTTTATTCTTTGCTTGAATAGTGTATTTCTGTGCCTTCTTTTATAACTACTGTATAGTGTTTGTCTCTTAATACACTTATCTACTAATAGTCAAACTAACCCTTGACCTCTGACCTTTGACCTTTACCTCGTAGAGAATGACAGCTCGTCTGCTTCAAATCGTAGTGCCTCTGCAGGTAACATATCTAGGATGGTTCTTTCTAATGTTCATTTAAAGCCTCTAACAGTCAGTCTCTATTCTCTATTTTGTGTCCTTATTGCGAACTTCTGAGAATTATTAGCTCTTCAAGTTAATGTGGTTGTTCTGTTCTCCACAGGTCGACCCGACCCACCTCAGGATCTGGAACTCTCGGACCCTTCAGCACGCAGTGTCAGACTCACCTGGGTGCCCGGAAATGAAAACAACAGTCCTGTTACACGTAAGTAAAGAACCCAAGAAAAGGAAAAATCCAAGTTTTCCTAAGTAAAGAACTTAGGCCCAATTCTATTTTTGAACCCCTAATTTTGAAGCCCTCACACTCTGTTTCAAGGGCCAAGGGGAAGGGGAATGCCCTAAGAAATGGGACACCACTACAATACATGCACACGTCATCATATGTCATTGCGATCTATTGCTTCATATGAGATTGACGATGGCGACTACTGTAGCTATTCCAGTTGCTTTATTTTTTGGTATTTATCTTTTGGAAATTAGTGAAGACAGTGCTATCATAATATCATAGTGATAAAATGTGGTAATAAGATGTACTGTACTGTGCATTTACACCCTGGCCATATTCATCTTTGTAAACACACAAAGACAACATTAACATTATACCAGACACTGTAAAAAGGTCATTCCCAGCCACTACACTTTTCTGACCGGGTATTCGAGTGTCATGCGGTTATGAATATAGTAAAACATGTGCTTCTTTTTTGTAAAAATTTGTAATAATGACAAAAAATACCAATCTGTACATCTCCTTACTGCCATGTGCAGCCATGCTGCCATTGTAGGTGGTGCATTATGGAAAGTTTTTGCACCCCTTGGTTTCGAGTGTGGTCCTGAAAAATCTGTTTTCAAAGGCTATCTAGTTATTGGTTACATTTTCGCAGGAAGTGCCAATTTGTTATTTTAAACATATTTGCTTCATTCATGGTATGCAAAATTTTTCTGATTAATAAAATTTCATTAACTTGATTCTTTTTTTACAATGATTTAAGGCAATCATTTAAAGTTTGATATACTATGACTAAAAATGTAAAAATCAATATTAACAATATTTATTTCTTACTTTCATATTATTTTTTAAATGATCAGGTATGATAACCAGGGTGTCTGGCAGGGTCTTAAAAAGTCTTGCATTGTCTTGAATTAAAAAAAAAAAAAAAACTGATGCCCTTTAAAAAAGAGGATGCCCTTCCAGCTGCAATCTATCACTGGGAAACATCCATACACACTCATTCACACACATACACTATGGACAATTTAGCTTACCCAATTCACCTGTACCACATGTTTTTGGACTTGTGGGGGAAACCGGTGCACCCGAGGAAACCCACACGAACGCGGGGAGAACTTGCAAACTCCACACAAAAACGCTAACTGACCCAGCCAAGGCTAAACCAGCGAAGCCTGACTCTTCTTGCTGTGAGGCGACAGCACTACCTACTGCACCACCGCCTCGCTGGATTGGAATTTTAATATTTGTTTATTTAAGTTTAGAAGTGTAGAAGGGAAGCATGTTTTTCTACACCAGTGCAATCATGTGGAACAAATTACCAAAACCAATCAAGAAAATAAAAGACTTAAGGCGTTCAAAAAAGTGATCAAAAGATGGTTGTTTGATGATGACAGTTAGTTTGCAGGGTGGATGATAATGATTTTTATATTTTATTTTAGTTTTTGTTTTAAAACGTGGAGGTACATTTTGTTTATCCATTAACTGTACTTTGCAGCCAAACTTTGTTTATTAACAGCGAGGACCACAATGGAAACAAGCCCAGGGCTGTATTGTGTTTTTATCCTCGACAATTTTGTCAAAATGTATGGGATACTTGTCTTTTATACAGTTTGTTTAAAATCTGTCAAATAAAATTCAATTAAATCACAAAAGAAACGTTATGTTGAAAAAAATGTCTATGTATACAACTAGAGTTTGCTTATTTTCACTCATTATTTGAAAATGTATGGCTAAGAAATAATTTTTTTTTTTTTTTTTGATAGAGCAAGTAAAGATCTTTTCACTTTTGCATTATAAAAATCCTTGTATAAGCCTGGTGAAATCTGCAGAAACCCTGTATAATCCTCACTGTCTTTTTCCCTGCACTACTGCAGATTTTCTAGTCCAGTTTGAAGAGGACAGGTGGGAGCCAGGGAAGTGGCAGAACCTGTCAATTTATGATTGGAACCTAAACTCAGTTAACCTTCAGCTATCACCATTCGTCAACTACCAGTTCAGAGTAATTGCGATCAATGCTGTGGGTCAGAGTCAACCCAGCCACCCCTCTGCACGTTATCAGACCAGCGGAGCCCGTAAGACATTGCTTATATTGTGTATATTGACTAGTATTAGTAGTCAAAATTACCAGTTGAGACATTTACTAATATAAATTTATCTGATTTAGCTCCTGATGTTGTACCAAGTGGACTTAAAGGGTGGGGAAGCAAAAAAAACAACATGGAGATCACATGGCAGGTAAAGTGAATGGCCAATTTTAAGAAGAAAAAGGAGATAGATGTGACTTTCATTGACTTAATTTACTGTTACATGTCACAGGCCATGCAGAACACAGAGAGGAATGGGCCAAACCTGCGATATGTGCTCTCCTGGAGAAGAAAAGACACAGAAGAAGAGTGGAATAACATCACCACAGCCAAAACAAAACACGTTGTCCATAATACAGACACCTACGTTCCTTATGAGATCAAAATACAGGCTGTCAATGACTTTGGACATGGCCCAGAGTCAAACATGGTCATCGGTTATTCTGGGGAAGACAGTAAGTACTATCATGTCATCTTTAATGACACTTGAGGCCCAAATATACTTAAAGAACACACCAGGGAAAGGCTTTACAGAAAACAAGTAGACATCTAATTGTTAGCGCTGTTTTTACGCTTTGTAAATAAACATGATGTGACTTAGCTGGAGTGTGGAATTGTAGAGATATCCACATTTCTATATCAGATGCTTTCTTAACTGCTGTTTTCTCACAGCTCAGACATTTTACCTCTAAACAATAAAAAGGGCTTGGCTGGGAGTAAATTGGGACCTGCTTTGTCATTCACAGATATTGGTGTGTTTTTGCTGCTTCATTTGCTACTACTAATATTTTTCCCCATCAGAACCATCCGCTGCACCAACAGATCTTAGGGTGTCAAAGATCAATAGTACCAAAGTCAATATTCACTGGGAGCCTGTGGAGCAGAGCAGTGTGAATGGAGAATTTAAAGAATACAAGGTAAGTGATCTTATATCTGCCAGACACAAAAACAGATAGAAACATCTCGTTCACCAACCATGCATTAATACGCATTATGTATGTGCAAATGTGTTCTTGCAGATATTCACATAATGTACCTTATGATTACATTGTCTATTAAAATTGCTAGGATTGCTAATTGATATCTCTTTTCATCATATTCTCAGTTGTACTACTGGCGGGAGGCCAGCCTCATAAAGGGCCTGAAAGTAAATAAGACAAAGTTGCATAAGGGATTCTTTACCACAGCAGAACATCCCTCTGGCATCCTGACTGAGCTCTATCCATACAGCAAATATAAGATGTATATGGTGGTTGCTAACCGAGAACATGAAGGGCCGCAAAGCAATACTGTGGAGTTTTACACCAAGGAGGGAGGTATGGTGTAATGGTGTAAAATGATGAGTTATTAAATATGTGCTGTTTGTAACAAAAAGCAAAATATGAATAGTTGTTATGATCTTTTCACAGAGCCAGGGGCTCCAAAATACTTTAGGATTCTAAGGCACACGGACGTGGTTCACCTGAAGTGGGACAAACCACTGGAGCCAAACGGTGTCCTGATTGGATACACACTCCAGTACCACACAGGTAAGCTCACCTTCCCAAATACACTCAGAAAGCCAGAACATGATGAAAAAAAATTATAATAATGCTATATGCACTCAGAATACTTAAGCAAATGATTAGAAACATGTAACATGAACTCAAAATATGCTTACAAATGATTAGAAACAATACATGTACTCAAAACCTTCTAGAAAATTATTATTAGCATGTTATGTGCACTCAAAACATGCTAGTAAACAGTTATAAACATACTATGTGTATTTAGTAATGTTGTAGCTACATGTTAATAACATCCTTGTAAGGGAATGGAAACATGCTGTGTGCACTCAGAACACATTAGCAAACATTAAGAAACATGCTAGCAAATTGCAAATTATTATTAGCATGTTAAGTGCACTCAGAACATGCTAGTGAACAGTTATAAAGATGTTATGTGTATTTAGAACATGCTAGCAAACAGATGTAGAAATGTAGCTATGTTAATAACATCATTGTAAGGGACTAGAAACATGCAGTGTGCACTCAGAACACGTTAGCAAACATTAAGAAACATGCTAAATTTACTCAGAACACCTAAACAAATCATTATAAACATACATAGCAAATTATTATTAGCATGTTATGTGCACTCAGAACATGCTAGTTAACAATTTTAAAGATGATGGCTGTTTCTCAATATGCGTTCTTCATTGGTCTTGCGTCCTCGTGTCCTCGTGTAACGTCATCATCAGCTGCCAAAGCTCAGTTCCAATACTCAAGACGCAAGTACGGAGGACGCGTGAAAGTTCCCGGATGTGTTCTTGATATGGAGGACGCACCGATGCAGACTTGAGCATTGAACTCACGCTAGAAGTCCCAGAAGTCATTGCGACTAGAGATGGGAAGCACAGCATTTCCTTTAGATTTTTTATATAAGTTCAGAGATATCACTTATTTACCTCAGTCAGGAGTTTCCCTAAATGAAACGGTGAAAGTAAACATTACCATAGACATCTTAATAAAGGAATAAACACATTAAGGATGTTTGTTTGCTGAAATTCGTATTGAAATCTGTTTTTATTTATATTGTACAATGTATATTTGTAAAGTCTTTATGCATAGTATATATATTGAAAAGGGGAAAAACAATAAGTCGTTGTTTGAATGCTGTAATGTTTAAATTATTAACCATTAAAAAACATGTGAAGGTCACGTGACCATCAGGAAGAACGCAGCATCACACCTGGCAAGACCTGTCTTCACAAGAACACAAGTCTGTTCTCTGCGTTCTTGGAATTGAGAAACAGCTGATATGTGTATTTAGAACATGCTTTCAAACAGATGTAGACATGTTGTAGCCACATGTTAATAACACCCTGGTAAGAGAGTAGAAACATGCTGTGTGCACTAAGAACACATTAGCAAAACTTAAGAAACATGCTACATTTACTCAGAACACCCAAAAAAAACATTCTAAACATGTATGCACTCAGAACATGCTAGCAATCTATTCGAAAAATGCTACATACATTTAGCATTTACGACATGTTAGCAAATGGTTAGAAATATGCTACATACACTAGCAAACTATTAGAAAAGTTAAGCTGAGAGTTTTGCATACTCTTATTCTACTTTCATATTTTCTTTCAAACAGTTAATTTTCTGTTACTATTCTTGTCTACAAAAGAACACATCTTCATTTTGTTGTGTTTTTGCTCTTCCAGTGAACGGGACACAGGCGGGAGAGAGGAAAGTCCAGAGTTTCCCACCCAATGTGACGGAGTACGTCATGAATCTGCCTCACCGCTTCACGCGCTTCAAGTTCTTCCTAGCAGCCCGTACGCAGGTCGGAGCAGGAGAAGTGTACGCTGTCGAGTCTCCACACTTCACCAATGAAGGTTAGCAAGCAGGTCTTTTGTCTCCTGTGAGTTGTTATAGTGAATCTGAGAGCAGAATCATTGCGTGTTCCTGTCTGTGCTCCACCCTGTCAATCTCTCTCCTTCTAATAATACTTGTCCGTCTCATTCACACTGTTGTTTCCTGATGCTCTGTGGTGTCTTTAACTCTCTTAACTGCTGGATTTCTTCTTTGTCTTCTCTGACTTGCCTGTCTGCCCTCTTCTCCTCCTGTCTTTCCTGTGGTGTTGACTGAAGGCACCCCAGATACTGACTCTACAGTTGTAGGTAATGGGGGAATGAATGGACTGCCGGGCTGCCCGTCTGTCTCTGCTTCTGCCTTACTGTCAGCCTCTTTTGTCCAATTCTGGATGTTTGTTTTCGAAATACTTAAGAGTGCAGCTGAGTATGTAAACTTACTACCGCACTTTGGATTTCTAGCCAAGCTCAAGTAGACCAAATACTATACTCACGTAAATAGATTTTAATTAACGATAATATTAACATTTTAATTAAAGGAGAAGTGTGTAAGTTGACCAAAAGCCACCTGTTTTATTGAATAGCCTGTGTATGGAAAATATTTGCAAAATCAGTTACAAGCAGATTTTAATATTTCATTTATTTTTCTACCAATTGTGCCATCATAATTTAGAAGTAATTAATCATACATTTCTTACAGTTTATTTTACACATTTTCTATCTAAAAAAAATATCCAAGCAGGCACAGGACATTATCATGACATCAGATTTCAACGTACCCCAGCATTGTGGGAAAATGGTAATGAAAACTGACGTTAGAACACAGCGTCAGGCCGACGTCAATGTCCAACGTCCAACCTAAAAACAACTAAATATCAATGTCTAATGATGTTATTATGACGTCTGATTCCAACATACTCCAACGTCATAAGGATATAGCATTAAGTTTGGAAATGAAAATTGATGTCAGAACACAGCACCAGGGCGACATCAAAGTCCAACGCCCAACCTAAAAACAACCAAACATCAATGTCTAGTGATGTTATCATGATGTTAGATTCCAACATACCCCAATGTCTTGGGAACATTAAATTAAGTTTGGAAGAGAAAATTGACGTCACAACACAGCATCAGGCCGACGTCAATGTCCAACGTCGAAGAAAATTGTTGTTATGTTTGCTTGGGTTTCCTCTGCGTGCTCTGTTTTTCCCCAAGTCCAAAGACATGTACTATAGGTGAATTGGGTAAACTAAATTGTTTTAAGTGTATGTGTGTATGTTCAGGTCTTCCAGGTTGCCTGAAGAAGGGTTGAGCGTTGGGCTAACAATTCACCTCGTAAAAATAAATATTACAAAACACCAACATGGTGTGGCTAAATATCAACTCCGATATTAATGACCCTGGCAGTAGGTAAATAGTAGTATAAGTAGTAATAGTAATAGTAGTAGAAGTTGTAGTAGTAGTAGTAGTAATATAAGAATTTGGGATCATTGTCTCCAATTCATGATTTGCACACTTCACCTTTAAATCTTCTTATTTTCTCTGATGAAAAACCATGCTCAGCTGCACTGTGTCTAATGCCTGTCCCTCTCCGTCTGGTTGTCTGTCTGCTCTCATCCATATATCACTGTGTGCTTTCAGGGATGGGCTTACACTTCCGCACTTTTGTGAAGTCACTGAATCTGCTCTCAGTCTAGATGATTACAGTTTGATCTCTTTATGATGCTACTATGATGATATTGTACCTTAAGCCACACACAAATAAGTTTATGTGCGATTCCGAGGCAATGTGATTCATTCAATTGACCCGTAATCCCTGATGGCACCTCGCTACTTCAGCCCTGACATCACTTCCTACCACATGCCTTGCTTGGCATATCCCAGCATGCTCTTCTCATCATTTTGGGTTGACATCAGTCTAGGTTGAAATCTAGCCAGAATGAAACGGTGTGGTTCTGGTTTGGGAAACAGAGACCTCTAGGGGCAATGCTTGGATACTGTAGTTTGTATTAAAAAAAATAGTTCACCCAAAAATGAAAATGTACTCACTATTTACTAACCCACAAATGGTTATAAACATTTATGAGCTCACTCATAAAAGAAAAGAAAAAGACAGAAGAAGACAAAAAAATAATTAAAAGAAAAAATAATTAAAATAAATAAATTAAAATAAATAAAATAATAAAATTATAATTAACCTGTGACCATTGACGTCTATAGTAGGGAAAACACTACTACACTAAAATGCTGGATTTCATACATTCGATTTGTGTTGAGCAGTAATGGGAATAACAACGCTGTAAATAAATGGTGTTACTGAACAATGGTGATGCTTTTTTCAGTAACGAGTAATTAATTGTAAATTACTGTTTCCCCGTTACAACGCCATTACCGTTACTGACAGTAAAATGTGCGTAACTACAATTGAGAACACTAAAGCCATTTGAAGCACACAGCAACCACCAGGAGTCAGAACAATGGCAAATTCAACAAGTTCAAAGGTATCGCTTCCTAACTGGAAACATTAGCACCACTTTTCCCTTGTTGAGGTGAAAGACAAGAATGTTTATGTATTGTGCAACCTATGCCCATGAAAAGAGAGTCTCTCTGCATCGATGAAAAGTTATTCTAATCTAATGAAGCACCTCACATCGCCGCATCCTGCCACAAATTAGTGGCTACGCAGGTGATACAATGAGATCTGCTACCAAAAAGGAGATAAAGCCATGACGTCAAAGCAAATAAAACTTAATTTTTCTCTACCGCAAACACTTATTACTCAGACAGAATCAAACAAAATAATATCTAGATATATATATATATATAGATTTTTTTAAGTAACGCAATAGTTACTTTTCCTGGTAATAAGTTACTTTTCTAGTCATGTAATTCGGTTATTAACTAATTTTGTCACTAATTGTGAGAAATAACTATACTTACTCTTTTAAAGGAATGTGCCCAACACTGATGTTGAGACAACATGAAGGAATAAAGTTAACATATTGTTTTTTACAAATTTAAGGGGATTGAAAATAAAAAATTAAGTTGTCCCCAAAAACTCAAGAATTGTTTCAGCCTAATTTAAATTAGTAACCGCAAATACATTTTTTAAGTGTAAGTCAGTGGTTACTTTCTTCAAAATATCTCTGTTTGCTTTCAACAGAATAAAAATAAACTCAAAGCTTTGGAAATAGAGAAGGGCCTATAGCCTATAGTGGTTAAGTGCGCCGGCTATAGCACCATGGTGCTCATGGCGTCCTGAGTTCGATTCCCGACTCGAGGTCCTTTGCCGACCCTTCCCCTCTCTCTGCTCCCAACTATTTCCTGCCAATTTTCTGCACTATTTTATCCATTAAAGCTTAAAAATATTATTATTAAAAAAAAGTGAAGGGAAAGTAAATGACAGATCATTTTTGGGTGAACTGTGCCTTTAAGGGAAGGAATCATGTTCAGGTTAGGCAAGGTAAATAGTAAAGAATTAATAAAATTAAAAAGTATTGTTAGTTTTGTGAAGAGAATGCTGTTACAGAAGCAAATGGCTGTCAAACAATTGGTCACACTTTATTTTGATGATGCGTTTGTTGAATTGAAGTTACATTGCATCTACATGCCAACTAATTCTCATTAGATTATAAGTAGACTGTTAGGTTGGGGTTAGGTTAGGGTTAGGGATAGTGTAAGTTGACATGCACTTGCAAAGTTTCCTATAGTCAGTTAAATGTCTGTTTAGCAGCAGTATTCACAGATATTAAGTAGACAGTCTACTAAAACTCAAATGGACCATCAAAATAAAGTGTTACCAAACAATTAAGCAGTTGTTTGTGTGGTTGACACCAATTTCTCCAAACGACTTTATTGCTGTATAAATGGTTAAACTGTTGTCTAGTTAAAAGGTTTGGGTAATAATACATTTCAGTTACTCTGGTGGAAATAGATGGCAAATTATTATTATTCTATATTAATTGACTTATGGTTTGTTATAAAATGACAATATTTGATTATCTAGAGTCTGAGGGTTTCAAAAACTCTAAATACTGAGAAAATCATCTTTAAAGTTGTTCAAATAAAGTTTTTATCATCGCATATTATACTGTACCCAATCAAAAATGAAGTTTTGACACTGTGGAGCATTTACAAAATGTCTTGATTTAAGATGATCTTTACTTAATAGTATAGTGATTTTTGACATGAAATAATAATCCATAATTTTGATTTATACAATGTAATTTGGGGCTATTCCAAACATCTACCCATGCAAGTCTGATTTTGTGGTTCAGGGTCATGTTTGTTGTGGATTTTACTTGCTGGATTACTTGCCATTACTACTTCCTCTGAATGGATGCAATGATACAAAATTATCTGTTATTGTTTTCATAGTTAATTAATATTGTGAACATGCAAGAGCTGGCTTACAAATTGGCAGTACTTTTTTCTTTTTCAGTCATGCAAACTGCACTGTGCAAGCTTACAACACATATGTAATTCAGTTTTTTTATGCATGTAGTCACCTCTTATTAATAGAGGTATTCTTTTTGGATAAGGATTCATCCATAGCAAAGTGGATTAGTACAGTAATTATGGGTTATTTTCTAGCGTGTTCCTACTGATTGATGTTTACGTGTTGCTTTAACAAGGACAAAGTCAGGTGTCAAGCAATGATACATGGAAGTCAGATTAGATTAGGAAAAGCTGCAGATAGTGAGTGTTGTGCTGCTGAATTATTCAAAAGAAATCAGCTCACCAGAAAATACAGCTTTTGCAATGCACGCCGCCGCTTCTGCTTGTGCCACCTTCATTTCTTTTATTATTTTGTGTCAGTCTTATGGAGAAATACAGGTAAGATTGCACTGAATTGTTGGCTTATTGGCTGTGTTGATCTGAAACCACATCACTGCGCTAAAGGTTCACATCCATAGCATGTCTTGGTCTGGCAAAACGTTCTGTCACCAAGCGTAAATGGTCTCATCCTTGCCTATATACTGGAGTATGAATTGCTTTCACTTTTTAGTTTGGAAACTGCTTATGGGTCAAAGATGAAAAGGGATTTTCAAGCATCAAAACTATTAAATATGTTTTAATAGAATGTGTCCTGTCAAAGTTTATTTTCTTCTGAGTAAAGAAAAACTGCAGTTTTACCAATACAAGAAAAGACTTTATGTAAAGTGTCATTTAGTGTGCCGATAATTTAGAAACCAAAAAAATCTAAGCATATTTAGAACAAGAATCATTTTAAGATAAATAATGGTATTAATTGGCATTTTAAATCTTTATTATGTGTCAGTATTTTTCAAAGAACACATTTTTATACACACACTCACACACACACACACACACAATATTTTGACATTTCTTTATTACAAATGTTATTAATACAAAACAAATTGTTGCAAAAACCAAAATAGAACACATGTACCCCAGTATAATATTGCTGATACATCCTCGTATGTCAATAAAGATTACCCCATTATCGGATAATATCTTTTTATTGATTTATCTTACTATTTTAGTTTTTTTTTTATATATATAATTTTTTTAGTCAAGTTTCAGAAAAACTGTATATGCGATGTCATTGGATTTATTAAGACAGTTCATATACAATAAAAAAACATAATAATAATAATAAATACATTTATAAGGCCCAATAACAGTCATTATGTTGACATTGATTTACCTCCACTGTAAAAAATGCAGGATTCCACGTAATTTATAAATGGTGTCCAAACACAAGTCGATAAAGCTAACTTAACAAATTTAAGTGGATTGAACATAAAACAATTAAGTTGTGCCCAAAAAATATGCCCACTTTAAATAAATAGTTTGAACCAGCAGAACATTTTTTTAAATGTAGAAATTTTAATGTAGAAAAAGTGAAGAAGCAGCTTTTTAATTTATGTAAAAATTGATTGACTCTCTTCTGCAAGTAAATGCTGTTTATTTACATTTATAACAGTAGCTTAAAAGAGTACAAAATATCCTCTATGTACCAGTACTGATGAAGGGCTAGAAACTCCCCTGATATCATCTTTGACCCTTATAAAGTTTTCATTATTGAGTCAGTTCGTAAATTGTCATTTGTTTCAAGGAAAATGCTTAAAAGGTGTACGATAATATCCACTGTGCTCTAATGGATTTCCACACATTTTCTCTTTTTCTGTTGACAGCAGTGCAAGTTTATTGTTTGTTATGTTTAAGGAGATATTCATGATTTCATATTTTTACTTGTTTCAAAATGCCAAGAGATCTGAGAATACTGTAGCATTTTGCAATTTGGTTCATGTGAGAATTGCATTAGCTCAGTGGATTGTAGTGACCCTATTTTTCCCCTTGGTGGTGCACAACAATCAATTTTTGCATACCCTCCACACAACCTCTGCAGTTTTCCTCTAAGACATGGCATTCACGCTCACAAATATCACAAAGAAAGTTGTTGCACCTTTTCAGGAGATATTTTAGAAAAGCAATACAAGCTAAAACTATGCGGAAAAATACAAATGTAATTTCTGGTATTTAGATATGCATTAGTACTGCACTACATCTTGATATTTCTATATATTCTTATTTACTTTATGCATGAAGTGTGTATACTACTGTTCAAAGGTTTGGTGGTAGTATGGTTTATCAGATATTTTTGGAGAAATAAAAATAATCTCCACTTGTTTTACCAATTTAGATTAAAAAACTGTAACACTGAATATTATTATAAATTGTTTAAAAAATGAAATGTATATTTTAATAATTAACATTTCTGTATAATGCAAGTCAGATTTTTCCAGCTCATGGTCCTTTAAAAATCATTCTTACAATATTTTGATCTAATAAAATTAAAAATTTAAGAAACAACTCTTATTAACAATGTTGAAAACAGGCATCTGCTGCATAAAACATATGCCAGAGTAGTTGGCGGTTCATACTGCTGTGGTGACCCCTGATGAACAGGGTGGCCGCATGGGCTTAAAAAGACCTTAAAAGTCCTAAATTCACTGAAATATTGTTAAATAAATTTAAAGAGTTCTTAATTTTTCTCTGTTTAGGTAAAGCTAATCAGTCGGGCCGACATCCATTCAATCACCAACAATCCATCTCAATAAAATCAGGGAAAGAAAACTAAAAAGAATTACTCAGTTCCTTGTGATAATAACAGAGCAATATTTCCCTTTACATTATCTTTGATTAAAAAATTTGTTCAACAAAACTATTTACAGAAATAAGGGGGAGTAGACATATTTATAAATACGCATAAAACTTACGTTTTTAAAACAGAATGAATAGAAGTTATACTCGAACAATTTGGACCAAAAGCCAACAAATATATATTTTTGATTGTTTATTTAAATGCAAATTAAGTTTTTATTTTATTTTCACACATTAAAGTATGTCATTAAGAACTGAAGTTTATTTATAAACTAATTTTGAGAGGATAACCTGTTTATGATTTATCACAGCCGATCTCCCATTAGCAATCATAATTCCCCAATCATATAATTCCTAAGTTTAATAACCACAGTCTTCATTTAACATTTATCTTTGTCTGGAAGAAACCCCCATCCTCCGACTTCTCCTCCTTTTCTCTCATAGATTTGGTGGCACGGCGGCCCAGTGGTTATCACTGTTAGCCCCACAGCAAGAACACTGCCGGCCCTGGTCCTCGCCAGGCTGGTGTGTGTTTCTGTGTGAAGTTTGTATGTTCTCCTAGTGTCGTGTAGGTTTCCCCTGGGTTCTCCGGTTTCCTCCTACCATCCAAATATATGCACAATGCTTAACAGATCAAGTAAAACTGGCACTTTGTCTAGCTCCCTTCAATCCCAAAGTAGTTTACCTTTGCCACTTCAGCTATGGAGTTTTTGAGATCTACCTGAGCTCAAGCTTCTCTCTCGCTCTCTCTCCCAGGACAGCATGCCAAACAAGCTTAGGATAAATCATCCGCTAAGTGTAAACTCTTGAAATAAATTTTTTATGGCAAACCAGGCCAATAGAAATAATCATTAGTGTTTAGCCCTGAATAAGTCTAAAATTTCATTCATAATGGTCTTAAAAGGGTCTTAAATTTGACATGATGAAATCTGCAGAAACCCTGAATAAAGGGATTAAGGCGAAGAAAATGAATGAATCAATGACTGTTGATCTAATAAAATTCTTAAGAAACAATTTTAATTAACAATGATGAAAACAGGCATCTGCTGCATAAAACATGCCAGAGTAGTTGGCGGTTCATTCTGCTGTGGTGACTCCTGATAAATCAGGGATTTAGCTGAAGGAAAATGAATGAATGAGTGTTGAAAACAATTATATAATATGGAAACAAATGTATCAAATGTATATAGTCCAATAGAACAGTATCTTTTTTTAACACTACAATATCTTCACTATGTCTGATGTATAAACTAGTTAATTTCCAGAAAATCATACTCACTGAACATTTGAACTGTAGTATTTTATTTTTTTTACAATTTGCAAATTGCAGTACGTAATATTAATGGCAGGTGGAATCCATTAGATGCAGTATCCCAATATTACATTCAGAACAGATTCTTCCATTCAATACATGGAAAAGGGGATTTGTGGGAATTCCATATAATTAACTCATTCTTTTTCTGTCTTTTCTCGCATCTCTTTGTGTCTCTCTTGTGCTTAACCTCTGGATCCTCTGTGTTCTTCCTCTCAGCCGTTAACTTTACAGATGGCTTGATGTTCGAAATTCCTCCTCCTCCCCTTCCCCCCTCCACTGACCCAAACCCAACAATATTCACCCCAGAACCAACTCCACCAGTCCCTACAACTGCTGCTCCAACCAAACCTACTACCACCACCACCACCACCACTACTACTACTACAACTTCTACTACTACTACAACTACCACAACTACTACAACAACCACCACTACTACAGCAGCTTCCACCACAGTTGCTCCAGTTCGGCCCGTGCCTCCCAAAACAGTGGATTGGAAAATGCTGGGTATCTGATAATGATAACAGTATTGAAAAAGCCCACAGTATAGATAATGAATAGATGAAATTAGTTTATCTTCTTGTGTAGATGACATGTATTGTGTATGTTCGACTCAGCCATGATTGATGTTCACCCTGTGCCAGAACACTCAAATTACACACAATTAGTATTGACAGTTGCTTAACAAATAGCCTAGTTGCATTAAAATGGTAATCTGAAGAAAATGTTGAAATTAAAAGCACACATTTGAGCAAATATTGTTAACATTTTGTAATTTAAAGACCCCTTAAAAATTTCATTGTTTTGTCATACGTTGTAATTTGACTTAATCAGCGACTTGATTCTTTGCCAACCAGAGAGACATTGAAAATAGCATGTGAAAGGCAGGTATATTTAAAAAGTATCAGGTAACATTTTACAAAAGTAATGTATTAGTTAATGTTAGTTAATACATTAGTTAACACAAATTAACAATGAACAACACATCTGTTAAGCATTACTTGATTTTGTTAATGTTAATTTACTCATATTAATCAATCTTAATTTACTCATATATGTATTTCTTTGCATTAACAGTTTGATTAGTTTATTTTTACTTACACAAACACTAATGTATTTGTTAATGGATAAAATAGCATGGCAATTATTGCTAACAATAAGCAACACATTTATTCAGTTATACTAAATCTTTGTTAATGTAAATATACAAATAGCAATGTGCTAGTTAATACATTAGATAACATGGACAAATAATGAACAATGACTCAGCAATATACAATCTTCAAGAAAACAAGAAAAAAATTAGGTTGAGCAACTAGAAAAATTAAGTTGGGCTAACTAGTAAAATTGGAGTAACTAGTCAAATAAATTGGGCTAACTATTAAAATTCAATTAGGACAACTAAAAAAAATTATTGGGCTAACTTGTAAAATTCAGTTGGAGAGACTAGAAAAATTAGTTGGGCTGACTAGTAAAACTGGAGTAATTAGAAAAATTAAGTTGAGTTAACTAGTAAAATTCAGTTGTGGCTTAAAAAATTAAGTTGGAGCAACTTAAGAAATTGAAGTACATAGGAAAATTATGTTGGTGCAACTAGAAAAATTGAAGTACATAGGAAAATTATGTTGGTGCAACTAGAAAAATTTAGTTGGGGAACATAAAAAGCGTAAGTTGGAGGACTAAACAAATTGAGTTGGGGCAACTAGAAAAATAATTTATAAGAACAAGACAAATTAAGTTGGGGTAACTTGAACATTAAATTGAGAAATCTAGAAAAAAGTTGGAGCAACTAGAAAAATTAACCTGGGCTACCTAGAAAAAAAGGTTAGGGCAATTAGAAAAAAATAAGTTGGTCTACCTAGTAAAATTAATTTGGGTCAACTAGAAAAAAATTAAGTTGAGCTAACTAATAAAATGATTAGTTTTTTTATTATTGTGATTTTTTTATCAGTACATGTGTGCACTAATTTTATTGTCCACAGTGAATTATTGTTACACAGCAAAACATAAAATACAAAATTGGACAAGCTAAATAATAACACAATAAATATTTTTTAAAAAGGTTAAATGTTCTAATGTGCATTTTGTAGAGGTACTAGTTTCTTAAAAAAGGTACTAGTCAGCATGAAAATATATGATAGTGTGCTTTATTTATTACACTTTAAAACATGTTTACTCCACCTATGTCCGTAACACTATCAATAATAATTAAAAGATACCAAAGTTCATGGGGTCTTTAAGTTCAAGCATATTTATATATCCTAACCAGTGTCTGAGAAATATCTGAGTGCTCTCCTCTCCCACCTGTTCTGCATAGCTCCGAATGTAAAGATCTGGAATCTGACGGTGGATGCTAACAATGACAATGCTAACGTCAGCTGGAAGCACAACTTCTCCGTTGACAGCAGCAAGTTTGTTGTAGAGTTCACACTGGACAGTAAGAGCCAGATAAACCTGCCGAGAGCTTATAAAGGGAACGCTAGATTTTACTGGGCCTGCTGGAGACCCAAAGTCATCCTCTCGTTACGTTTAATTGGGCCTCGTTTTATAGCAAACTTACAGAACATCACATTACAGGGAGCTCAGGTTTATTCGGAAGGGAGGTATTGTAAATGTTATGAGGATTGTGCAACATTTATGATATCTCCCTGCTGTGCTTCTCTGTAATGTTCTCTTAAAATGCATTTAAATACTAAACTGAGGCAGTGCTCCAGCATGGTACTCAATAATATCATGTGTAACTGCAATACTGCATCTTGCTTTGTCACGCATGTTCCCTTTAGAAAGCCCTGTTTCTGACTGGTGGCTAAGAACAAGGAGAGATTGGACTGAATCTGTGAGAGGGAGAGAGACTATGAGACTGAACAAGAGACCAACCCTGCTTGTTTCACTCTAATTGGGGTTCTTTTGGTCAGGAAACTATAGTGACTTTGATGCAGCCTGACTTTGATACACCTATTATATGAAGTACAGCACTCTGCTATATTTAAGCCATTTTATCCTTTTTTTAACATAAATGTAGATTTACTCAGGATGCATTTTATTTTTATAAACACTTGATTTTAGAAAATGTTACTAATGTACCAATTTACTAATTTATCATTTGATTAGCTTGCTTATATACAATATATATATGATTATACAATATTTACAATGTATATTTATTTCTTATTTTAAGTGTGGACCATACTAAAAATTGTTAGGTTTATGGTCATAAATATGGTCTGGAAAAAAAGCATATCATTGTATACAAATTTATAACTTCTTATCAATTATATTATATTATATTATATTATATTATATTATATTATAGCTATATATTTAACAACAGCAGCAATATTATAATAAAAATGCAATAATATTGATTAATATTGTTAATATAATTTTTTTATTTAGGTATTTTTACTAAAAAAAATAAAAATGTATAATTTGATTAGCTTGCTTATATACAATTTTTACAATGCATATTTATTATTTTAAGTGTGAACATTATTAAATATAGTTAGGTTTATGATTTTAAAATTTCAATATGGTTTGAGGGCAGATTATTATATTATATTATATTATATTATATTATATTATATTATATTATATTATATTATATTATATTATATTATATTATATTATAGTTTAATTATAATTAACAACAGCAGTAATAATATCATTAAAAATGTTATGATATGAATTTATATTGTTAATAATATTTGTATTATTTTAGATATTTTTACTGAAAAATAGTACAAAATATTAATAAAGAATTCACAGCCTGTAATTTCTTGAGACAATTTAGTACAGTCTCAGAAATATAGACTGATTTAGAACTAATTTAGATAAGTAACGAAATGTACATGTTTGCACCTTACATTTTAGGTATTAATATGTGCATTTAAGGTAAATATGTGGAAGTGTTTGATGCAAAAATTTCCACATTAATGACAGTGTTTGCACCTTTGTTTCTGAAAGTTAACTCAGTTTTTTTTATTGCTCAGATAAATCCAAATTTGATCATAATTTATATTATTTCTCCATATCACACCAATGTTTTATTGTGCCAATACATGATTAAATTAGTCATAGCACTGTCCGATACATGACTAGCATATATTCCTCTACAAAAGTCTCTCTTCCTCACTCACTCATGTTCTTACTGTCTCTCGCTCGCTCCTTCGTCCTTGAGCTTTATCTGTTGAACACATTAGACGCAAACGCCTCTCCACCTTTATTACCCCAACCATTGGCTTCCCAGCAGCACTTGTCGTCTGGCTGCCCACAGCTGCTTGGCTTATTGTTCATATTGGCCACCATCGCCCCCATCCCACGATTAGATTATGCCAGCAAAGCCTGCCATATCTGATTGATGCCCTGCTTTTAAATCTCTGGTGGAAATGTTTCAGAGTGAGAGATAATGGCGAGGTTATCATTTCCTACCCAAGGTCTCCTCAAGGGGAGAGTCGGAGTAACAGGTTTAACCTTGAAGCATGTTGTACATCCTGATGCAATACCAAACCAAACAGGTGAAAATATAGCTATTGGGGATCTGGTTTTTATCCAAGCACCGCTGTGAGCGGCATTTTTATGGGATTAAATGACAGCAGAACCAAGATGCACACATTCTCCAAAAGCACTTCCCCTTGTAGACTTCCTATGCCGTTATATAACGTCTCCTATTCGTTTTTTTCTCCCCTTTCTCATCTTCTCACCATGTGCTGTCAAGATTGTGGCAGATGCATGCAGTCTGTGTCGTGATGTCTAAAAGTGAGAGACGTAGAAGTTTTGTTGATCTTAAAGAAGCAGATTGTGATATTGAAGGGTTTTAAGTGCATTTTGTGCATGTTATATGGGAATAAATGTTATAACGAGACTAGAAGAATAACAGACAACTCTTTAACTCAGTTTTTAAACTAGATGTGTAGGCCTTGTTTACACCTTGTATTGGGATGTGTTTTGTCAAACTGATTCTAAATACAAGTGTGAAAGGGGACCAGGCACGTGCACACTTACGGGCTCAACTTGTGCAGTGCACATGCCCTTTTTAGTCTTGGATAGAAGGTGCCCTTCCAAAATCATCTAAAGTGCCCTCGCGACAACCCTCCCCCCACCCCCCCATGTCCTTCAGTTCACGCGCGACGTCACCCCCCAACCTCCCAATCCCCGTCCACCAAAATACATTTTTTGCAACTAAAATGATTATGTGGCAATAGTTTTTGCTAAATTTAAGGTAAATTTCATGCCATTTAGTTTATTGTTTTGCTGTGAAAATATACACTAATGTACTATAACATTTTGAGGCATTGCATTCAGATGAGGACATCCCACATAGTAAAATATCTTTGGCCCAGCTCTGGCCCACACAATCAGTTTTTGCTTGGCCCACATGCCACAGTGAATTACAGTACATGACTGGACCAAGTCTGGCTTTCATACAAGGGTCAAACATGGACCTTATCTGGGCCAAGTCTCAGCCAAGTTAATAACCCATAACTAGGCCCACAGGGAATCTGCGCATGCAGAAATCTGCAGATTTCCACATTTTTAGCTCAAGTTTTTTAATGTGTCACTACTGTAATGAAATTGATAAACCCATGAATCTTTGCACTTTAGGTGCTATAGGCATGCTTTTTCTCAAAGTGACCTGGTTGGTAGAATTTATTCATTTATTTATTTATAGATAATAAAAATGTATTTTAAATGTAAGTCAAGATTGTCAAAAACTTACATTGCCCACATATAAATTATTTACAATTGAGCCAAATACTACATTTTACATCTGGCCCAAGTATTGTGTGCTGCCTTAAAGAAAAAAGCCAAACCAAGGCCATAATTGGCCCACATGCTGTATGCCAGTGCCGGATGTATGCCTGCTGTGCCAGATTTATGCCAAATCTGGGCCAGAATTCTTTGCTACCTGGGATTTTATTTGCAAATACTATAATGTTTTTAAATGTAAAACCATGCAGATGGCACCCTGTGCCACGGTGGGAATTTGAGCAGTGTCCCAACTGTCTAAAATATGAGAGAAATCTGCAGCACTTAAAAAAAGGCGAACTGTACATAATTGTACAGCATCCGGTTAGCCAGACAGAGTTTAGATTTTGCCATCTGAAACCCAGTGTTTGTTTTGAAGGTGAAAATAAATGTAAGTAACTGTAATTGTAGCACAAACCCATTTTGTACTGTAGTTTTGCGGCTATCTTTATATTGTTTTCCATTGTATGAGCTCACATGTAAATTTCAAAAGCTTATTTCACAATATTTGATCAAAATATTTGAAAATGTCCATTCATACACCTGCCTATACAAATCAGGAAAGTGGTCAAAAGTGGGTTAAAGAAACAAGTTAAAACATCAACTGTAAATGGCCTTGTCTACTGGTGATCTGATCGACTAAAATGCTTAATTTCAGGTGTAAACAAAGCCTAACATTTTCATGAAAGAAATGTTAATGCTTGCAAGGCCACACGTGTTAAATAAAGCCATTTTCAGTCTTGTATCTTAAAAATGGATTATATTGGTTAACAGTGTTGCTATATCTTCTTTGTTGCTTTCACAAAGCAATTTTTCTAAACATTCGTTATTTTTGTTCATACAAGTTATTGGTCAGAGCTCATCTGCACTCTTAAACAATATAAATTTTTTATTATCATCAATAGGTGCATGAACAACCTTGAAGGAAAGGGTTGTATTAATTGTTCATATATTCTTCAACTGAAAAAAAATTTTATACTAAAAGTTTTTTCTATGGCATCAACCTTTTGGAGCATTTATTTTATCTGTAGCAAATGGACAGAATCCATTTGCCCACACACTCCCATCCTTCTACGTCATTAAACCACGGAGAAGTACCACATTGTCACAAGTTTAATGAAGTACAAAATGAATGCCTCAATAAATCCAATCTGCCTGTTTAGATGATTACTTGCATTGTCACGCATGCAATTTATATCTAATTTATTTCCACGTATGAAAGAGGCCTGAAACCGATCTCTGAATATTCGAATGCACATATTTTTTTTTCGTGTTTACACAGTCATAGAACAGATCTGATCACACATAAGCAAAAAAAAAAAATCGGGATTGGGTCACATTCAACTGGCAGTGTCAACGGGGCCTTAGACTTCAAGTTTGATATCAGTAGAGACTGGATATTTAATTTTGCATGCTTAATTCGATCTTACAATATATTTGTTGTAGCTTGACACTCAATCTATCACTTAATTTTTGAAAACATGTGAAAGTATTTTATTATTGACTATATTTATAAAATACTAATTTAATCCGTCTGAATGCTTTTAGATGTTAGACTTTTGTTTAGACCAGGGATCTTCAGACTCGGTCCTGGAGGGCCGGTGTCTGGCAAAGTTTAGCTCCAACCCCCATCAGACACAGCTTGCCTAGCTAATCTAGGTCTAGAAACATCCTTGCAGGTATGTTGAAGCAAGTTGGAGCTAAAATCTGCAGGACACCGGCCCTCCAGGACCGAGTTTGGACAGCCCTGGTTTAGACTAAACTAATGCAACTGTTTTACTTTGAATAGAGCGACATTGTGTTCCTTAACTGAATTTGTCTCTGTCGAGTCACGTTGGGTCCATTACTCAAAGCAGAAATTGTAAAACTTTCATCCTTTGAAGTGCCAACACAGGCGTCAGCCAATCAGATGACTTTATGCAAATATATTTGTGCAGATGCTAGCAAACCACATATGTGTAACATCAGAGAATTAAGTTTCTCAAAACATCTGTGCCTTGCAAGCATTGAAATTAATGCTGAATCTACAAAACACTAAAATATATTGAGGTTTTTGTTTGTTGTGTTTTTGCATAGAGGGTATTTGTCAAAATAGACAAGTACTTACTTTCATCTTTGCTGTAGTTTCCAGTACATTCACTGGTCCTGGATCTGCACTTTCAGACACTGCAATTGAATTCCGCCATGCATATTGTATAATCCAATGGCTGCTTGCTTCAAAGGTTGGTCACATTGTGGATATGCAGACTCGAAGCCAATGAGTTGCATAGTGCATGATGATTTCATTTTTGGGTTCCTCATGTACATCAAGGAACCTCACTGGAACATCACGCCCACCTCTTGACAATGCCATTGGGATTTGTGGGATTTGTCTATCCACTTCCCCTGAGTTGAAATGAGGTCTATGAGTAATTGAGACAAGGTGCGCCTCCCTCCACTCCATACTTCATTACAGCAAACCCAGTGTGAGATATTAAGCAGAAGCTTCACTTCAAAGCTTTTAACAGGCATCACTGAAGCAAATGATGCCCCTAATACACCAGTGCCAGACTTTGATGTGCGCCGAGCGAAGATATTCCGGTATTTTCGCTCTCAGCATGCTTAAAATATGCTCGCATAGAGTGAAAGGGATGCAGCACATTTCCTCAATTGACAAACATGGCCTGCCGTCGTGCTCTTAGCTTAGCCTGGTTTGATGGGCACCTGTCTTGTGTCTCCTCTTGAAGGTAATGGGTCGATGACGAGCATTCAAGTAAACCAGCAGCCTCACATTAAGCTGGCTGGGCTGGTGGCTGGGGCCAAGTATCGGTTGCGGGTCTATTCGCATGAGCACAACTCCATCAGCAGCGACTATGTCACGTTCGAGACAGGCAGAGGTGAGGGGTGGCCAGGACCTGTGGGAGGAGCAAAGGGTTCTACGTGTGACCTTCTGAACCAAATGGACTTACTGATGGGTTACTGTCAATGGTAACTTGTATAGGATGGCATTAGGGTATGGGTTCGATTCCTGTGAGAAAAAAACTAAACATTATCAGTATTAGTTCACCTCAAAATTAATATTCTGTCATCAATTATTCAGTCTCATGTTATTCTAAAACAAAAACAAAGATAATATCAAAGATTTCAGTCTTTTCACTAAACAACTGTCAAAACTTCATAAAGATAAATATATATATATATATATATATATAGATTTAGTTGTATAGAACAGATTTAGTTTAGACTTTAATTCACATAAAAATGTTAATCAGTAAACAATGTTTATGACATTAAAAATTAATCAAAGATGGTTAAGTATGTTTGCTTGATGCTTGAAAGCCAATGAGGTTCATTCTTGAAGGCTGTATGGCACGGTTGAGCTTCTGCAAGAACAAAGGAGATTTGTTTTCATTTTTCATCTAGGGGCTGTACCATGAAACTATTAGCTGGCTAGCCTAATAGTTTAAGTTTTAGTTTAGTTTGCACTAGGGTTGTCACGATACTAGAATTTGATACAAATCGCTTCTGAAATTTGAAAAGTGTCCATTTCCCGCAAACTGGAGCACTGTGGAGAACATTCTTAAATAGTTCTGTTTAAATAGTTTAAATGTTTAAACACATACTTAAAGCTAATAAATGAATGCAGTTGAGCAGTTTGTCTACAGAATTGTAAATTACTGAGAATTTTTGAAAAACTTTTATGTTTGAGAGATGTTGTGAACAGTCTTACAATGGAAGGACAGAAATATTTCACCTTGTTTTCCATAGATAAACACATTTCTGCAACAGCATGAGGGAGAGTAAATGATGACAGAAATTACATTTAGATGTTTACTAACTCTTTAATGCTTGGCACATTGTTCTCATTATTTTCGAAGCTTCAGATCCATTAGCAAACTTATTTTCCCAGCAAGATGCATATGCGCCTAAGGTGTTGTGACCAAGATGAAATCTCATGACATTTAAAGCGCTGTTTCAATAAGCTATTGATCATTGTGATGATATGGATTATTGAGCCGTGTAAATGTCATTTTAAGTAGGATGTTTGCTCTGTTTATCAGATATAGAAGTTCTAGCTCATAATAATCCAAGCCATCAGCTTTATTGTTTGCTCCTCTCATTGATAGATCCCTCTGTGATTTTGCACACATAAAACAGCACTATTATCAGGCTAATTAAAATAGAGTTTTTGGGTGATATTACATTGTTATTTATATTATAAAAGACTTAAGTCTCCACTGTTTTACCAGAAATGGATTCAGAAAAAGAAAAGTTAAAAAAGTTAAAAGCCATTAACCAAACTAACCCAAGTGTATCTGTCTGCGAACTGCAGGACGGGGGTGCAAGAGGAAGGGGCGTAACTTGTCGAGATCCCAATAAACCATGCGAGATGTTGTTCACAAGATGGCTAAAATATTTACCAGTGAGCATGTTTTCATGAGTTTTCTCCAAATTTATCCACAACCAATTCATTTGATATATTATTATAATAATAACTAACGCAACTTGCTGACTTCTTCATCTGTTTGTCATGACATGTAGCCTACTTGGCGTTGCCCCCTGTGATTGCAAAAAACGTTCGAGGTTACAGAAGTAACCCTTCGTTCCCCGAGGAGGGGAACGGAAGTGCCATGAATGGGAGGATTCGGATCAGAAGCCGCTTATCTGGAGAGTATTGAACGGGCCAATGAATGAAATTAATTGGCAGCGTAAGCTTGCGCAGGTGTGCGACATCTGCAATTATCTCAGCATATAAGCACACCTGAAGCCAGCAGACGCCATCCTTTTAAGCTGAAGAGACTTTCAAACAGCTAAGGGACAGTCATTATGGCGACGGAATATGGCACTTCCGTTCCCCTCCTCGGGGAACGAAGGGTTACTTCTGTAACCTCGAACGTTCCCCTTCGGTTGGGGAACTTCAGTGCCATGAATGGGAGAATATGGAAAGCGCCATAATGACTGCACCTTACCAACACCCCCGATGAGGAGATAGTCAAGCAAGCGTGACGCACCCACATCATGGGGGGCGCGGTCCTCCAACGTGTCCCTGGCCCTAATTTATCCTACTTCAACAGAAGTTTTACGGATTTAGATATATTTTTTGGGAAGTCGTGAGCATCTAGATAATTCTAGGAAATACGACAGTACGTTGGGAAGCGTGCAATCCCGATAGGGAGGACGCTGCGGAGGCCATCCGTTACCCAAGGGGGGGATAGATGGCAGAATTTACCTATGGACTAGCCCTAAAAAGGGGGAGTACGCATAGCAAAAGAGTGGTTAGCGGAGAGGGAAGACACGGGTCCACCCAGGGGGGGGACTTAACCGTGGCGGAATAAGCATATGGGATCGCCTAGTGGGGATCACGCATAGCAGGCACCTATACCCAAAACGCGGGCTGACCAGCGGGCAGACCTACAACGTAGTGGGCCAGCAAGTGACTCCTCCGCTGAGTCAGTGCTGGGGGCCACGGAGGAATCTGCAGGGCTCACCTGACGGGGAACTTTACTGACAGATAAAAAAGGCGCACGTACCTCCGTGTTAGGGAGAATGGCGCCGCAAGCGTGTTTCAACACCCTACCGAGTTGTCTCCTCAATCACCAAAGGGTTACCTAATACCCTTGAGGAAACCGGCTCCACTCGCAGATTGTAAAACCTTGCAAATGTGTTGGGTGTCGCCCAGCCCGCAGCTCTACAGATGTCTGTTAGAGAGGCGCCGCGTGCACGCGCACAAGAGGATGCAACGCTCCGAGTGGAGTGTGCACGAACTCCCGGGGGACACGGCTGACCTCGACTCGAATAAGCGAGTGAAATGGCATCCACAATCCAGTGGGATAATCTTTGTTTTGATACGGCACTTCCCTGCTGCCGACCGCCATAACAGACAAAGAGCTGCTCAGATGATCTAAAATTCTGAGTACGGTCCACATAAATGCGCAGAGCGCGAACTGGACAAATTAAAGAAAGGGCTGGGTCTGCCTCCTCCGGGGGCAGCGCTTGCAGGTTCACTACCTGATCTCTAAAGGGGGTGGTAGGAACCTTGGGCACATAACCGGGGCGGGGTCTCAGGATGACGTGAGAGTAATCCGGCCCGAATTCCAGGCACGAGTCACTGACCGAAAATGCCTCCAGGTCCCCGACCCTCTTGATGGAGGCCAACGCAACCAGCAGAGCTGTCTTCAGGGACAGAAATCTTAGAGATACTGATTCGAGTGGCTCAAAGGGATCGGATCGCAGACTCGTGAGAACGAGGGCGAGATCCCAAGAGGGCATGAGAGGGGGGTGAGATGGATTAATTCGCCTAGCACCCCTAAGGAACTGGATGACCAGGTTATGCTTTCCCACGGTGCCGCCAGCTACCGCGCTATGATAAGCAGAGATGGCGGCCACGTAAACCTTGAGAGTGGAGGGCGACAGCCTGCTGTCCAACTTCTCTTGAAGGAAAGAGAGCACAACACTAATCTGGCAATTTCGGGGGTCTTCTCTGCGAGAGACGCACCATTCAGTGAATAGACTCCACTTCAGGGCGTAGGCGCGCCTCGTGGAGGGGGCTCTAGCCTGAGTGATGGTATTAACCACCGCAGTCGGTAGGTTACCTAAGTCTTCCTCGCGTCTAGGGACCACACGTGGAGGTTCCAAAGATCGGGGCGAGGGTGCCAGATGGTGCCCTGTCCCTGAGAGAGTAGGTCCTCTCTCAAAGGGATCCGCCAGGGGAGGGCCGTCGCGAGGAGTGAGAGCTCTGATATCCAGGTCCGGTTGGGCCAAAGGGGCGCAACTAGCAGAACCTGTTCCTCGTCCTCCCTGACCTTGCACAGAAACTGCGCGAGCAGGCTCACTGGGGGAAACGCATACTTGCGCATGCCCCGAGGCCAGCTGTGGGCCAGTGCATCCGTGCCGAGAGAGCCCTCGGTCAGGGAAAAAAACAACTGGCAGTGAGCGTTCTCGGGGGAAGCAAACAGATCGATCTGGGCCTCCCCGAATCGCGCCCATATCAGCTGAACAGACTCGGGGTGGAGTCTCCATTCTCCAGGGCGTAACAGCTGTCGTGAGAGCGCATCGGCTGCACGATTGAGCGTGCCTGGGACGTGAATGGCGCGCAGCGATTTCAGCCGCGGGTGACTCCAGAGGAGCAGACGGCGGGCGAGCTGAGACATGCGGCGAGAGCGCATACCCCCCATGCGGTTGATATACGCCGCCGCCGCCATACTGTCCGTCCTGACCAGCACGTGTTGCCGCTCCAGCACCGGTAAAAAGCGGTGGAGAGCGAGGAACACTGCCAACAGCTCTAGGCGATTGATATGCCAATGCAGCTGGGCACCCTTCCAGAGGCCCGCAGCCGCATGCCCGCGACACACGGCCCCCCAACCCGTGTTGGAAGCGTCTGTTGAAACAACAACATGGCTGGACGCCTGTCCTAGAGGCACACCGGCCTGTAGGAACGAGGGGTCGTTCCAAGGGCTGAGGGCGCGGCGACACAGCGCAGTAACCGAGACCCGGTGTGTGCCCGCGTGCCATGCGCGTCTGGGGACCCGATCGTGAAGCCAGTGCTGAAGTGGTCTCATATGGAGCAACCCGAGCGGCGTGACGGCGGCTGCGGATGCCATATGCCCCAGGAGCCTCTGAAAGAACTTCAGTGGGACCACTAGTTTGCTGTCGAGCTCCCTCAGACAGTTCAGCAACAGGCGAGCGCGTTCCTCGGAGAGGTGCGCTACCATGGTGATCGAGTCCAGCTCCATCCCGAGAAAAGAAATCCTCTGCACGGGGGCGAGTTTGCTCTTTTCTCGGTTGACCTGAAGCCCCAGTAGGCGGAGATGCCGAAGCACCTTGTCCCTGTGCATAATCAATTGCTCCCGCGAGTGGGCTAAAATCAGCCAGTCGTCGAGATAATTGAGTATGCGAA